GTACTTTTATGCCTACAATTACGGTGGAGAGGTACTAGGATGGAAGCAACTAAATTTTGGTAAGTTATATTCCCATCTCTCCAACCAAGTCCGCTGTAACCACCCATACGTATCACAGAACTGACACATATCACCCAGGCAACCACGTCGGCGACTGGGAACACACCATGGTCCGCTTCTCCAACGGCCAACCCACCGCAATCTGGTTCTCGCAGCACGCCAACGGCCAGGCCTTCCGCTACTCCGCCGTCGAACGCGACGCCGCCGGCATCCGCCCCATCGCCTACTCCTCCAAAGGCTCGCACGCAAACTACGCCATGGGCGGCACCCACGACCACACAATCCCGAACCTCAACCTCCCCGGCGGCGTCCTCGAAGACTACACCAACAGAGGCACCGTATGGGACCCACTGCTCAGCGCTTGGTACTACAAGTTTACTCCCAGCACCAACAAGTTCGAAGCATATGATGGCCAGGCGCCAACCGCGTGGCTTAATTTCAGGGGCAGGTGGGGTGACCAGGAGTATCCTGAGAGCGATAAGAGGCAGTTTAAGCTTTTTGGCCAAGCAAAGTTTTCGGGGGGTCCCACGGGGCCGGCGGATAAGCAGTTGAATCGGGAGAAGGTTTGTCCCGAGAATGGGAGGCTTTGTATACTGAGGAGTATACTTGTGCCGAGGAAAGCGGGTATGGATGGAGCGTTTGCGGAGAGGGATGAGGTTGTGGGGTGAAGGTTGAATTCTTGGGGATTTTTTTTTCATGATAGGTTTTAGTAATGTTTAGATTTTATATCCAGATAGGATGTGTGAAGGGGTGAAGTTGCATGTGACTGGACACGAATCGATTGAGAGAATGCCCAAAACTCATGTTTTACAATACGAGGGCAAGATTTGAAGGTAATTTCTTTTGTGGGCTCACACTATGAAACAATTCCAATCATTGCTAATCTATACATGCAGGGGAACGGAAGGTAAAGAGGTGTTATCTAAGTGGATTGTTTGTATTCGTCATCAATATTCCGGGTTCGTAAGCTTGTGTTGATATACTACATGCAACAAGTAGAGCACTGAAGTTCTGGCACAGGCATGTGTAGACGAAAGTATGGATGATACTAAATCTACACTCTCCGAACTCTTAAAGAGGTGAACTTCCCGGTAAGCAGGTAGCCTATGATGAAAACAAGAGTGCTATCCAAGTAAGCTGTATGGATCGGAGTGACGGGCTACCTTGGTCAGATCCCTTTGAGTTGCAGCTATATTTAAATAAACTTTATCTCATAACGTGCCATCCTTGTGGGGAATACCCGCCCCCTGTCTTACATGGTCATCAGCATCGTGATACTTTGAATCATGAACTCGATATCCTTGCATTCTACATGTAAAGGTAGCTGCAAACCTTGTCTTGATTCTTCAAATGCATTAGTATAAACATGCGCGTTAAATTTTGCGATCTAGAGCTGCCAACCGTTCTCTGACAGCATGCAAAGCCCGCCGATAAACCACTTTTGGTGTAACAGACTTTCGTCAAAATACCCGGGACCAAGTTACTGGGTCCATTAGAGCGATAGACTTCGGCCCGTGAGAGCAACGGACATAAGCCCAATTCATCTGGATCCATAAAGCGTTTTTTGAGTATTCGTCCAATTTCAGGTCATCCCATCCTTCTTACGCATACTTACATAAGTCCTACAAACAGTCCTTACGACTTGACACCTATTTCCTAACTCAGCCACAACAGTGGCACAGAACAGAAGGGCACCCCCCACCGACACCACTCAGAATCACCCAAATGGCGGGGCGAGGAGAAGAAGAACCCAACTATATAGTTTCGTAGAATAGGTGTAACTGGGCAGTGTGTAACCACTGTAAGCCCCAGGCTTCGCCCGTCCCCATGCCCCCTGGGAGGCTTTCGTTAGGACGTAAAACCAATACTACTACTACTACTACTACTACTACTACTACTACTACCACTAACCTATTTCCTAATATTATCCCTGTTGTATTGCTCTTTCAGGTCTTGCATCTGCCACCCTTAGGATACCCAATCCCATTTGCAAGCTGTTACCTTTGCTGTGTTAACACGTAGTAGTGCCTTGGGAGTCATCGTAGCACGTGGCTTGAAGGCGTGGCTATGGCACTATGACATGAAAAGAAATGTGCAATACACCGCTCTAGGTTGTGCAGTGGTATTTGTTTCAAGGATCAGGCATGGAAATAAACTTGTGACTAAGCTTTTTGAAAGGCGTAGTAGGTAGAGGCGAGAGAAGCATATGGTGTTAATCCGAGTTACTGGGCGGAGCTTCTTGGCTATAGTAGTGCCCTGATAGTAGCCACTCCACTTCATTATTCACATTTCCCACAAATATCAGCAGCAATCTTTCTATGTATGAGAACGGCAAAAATGAAATTGTGCGACCACGTGACATAGTCCTGGGAAGATCGGGAAAGATAAATGTCCCGAAAATGATAAGAGCACCAAGCCACCCCCAAACCCCCTTTCCAACATGACTGTATACCTCCAGTCAACATGCAGTGCGATGCAAGACAAAACCAAGGAGGTCTGTAAACGATGAATACGCCACTGACGTACAAATGGCCAGAGAGAACCAAATCCGCCTCGTACTAGCCTCACAGCGGCCTAGCAGATGATTAAGCCAACTTAGTAAACAACATTCTATCATGAATCCAACAAGCACTCATGACGAATTTGTAGAAATTCGTGCTAAATCAACAGGGAGCTGCAAGTAAGCATGCAGTCAGCACTCCTGTAGGACCTTATTAGCCAATGAAACAACACGCATTAGACTAGCGGACCCAAGTTGTAGTTTGTGTACGCTGGATCGATAAGACGATATGTTAAACATGTTTATGAATCATCGAATTGAGGGGTTTCCACACTGTTGGTGACAAATATTGGTAGCTTTTGTGAGAGACGCGCTGTGTATATAGTCTTGAAAGATAGATCGCAAGGAATAGCAATAAACCCTTGCTTGCAGAAACGCAGTCCCTCAACTTACACTGCTTAATCGATAAATTAAAATTTCAGTAGATTCCAATATGCCGCTTTCAACCGACACTCAAGTGCTAGAGACTAGCAATGGTCTCGTGAGCACGCTTCGTGGTATGGCTGGCGATGCAGGACAGAGCTTTCGACCAGGTTTGTCGTTCCCCCCCCCCCCCCCCTGCATAACCCTTCCAAATCACTAACACTTACTCCCAAATTCAGCCCATGCAAAAGGTCATCTCCTCACAGGAACATTCACACCCACCTCCTCCGCTGCCGAGCTGACTTCAGCCCCGCATTTCAACGCTGCATCCACACCAATCACCGTCCGCTTCTCCTCCTCAACTGGCTTCCCCAAAATCCCCGACACAGACGCCAATGCCAATCCGCGCGGAATCGCAATCCGATTCCACCTCCCGGAGCAAAACGGCAAACGGCAGCACACAGACATAATCGCCCATTCCACGAAATACTTTCCCACACGTACTGGCGCCGAGTTCCTAGAATTCCTAAAAGCAGCAACAAGCAGCAATGCCGCCGAAGCCGTCCCAGAGTTTCTGTCTCGCCACCCAGAAACTGCGCGGTTCCTACAGGACCCTAAGCCCAGTCCCGAGAGCTTTGCTACGGAAAAGTTCTTTGGAGTAAATGCGTTCAGGTTTGTCAAGCAAGATAAAGTTACCACGCTGCGATATCGAATCGTGCCTGTTGTGGGCGAGCAGCATGTTGATGTTGAAGCGCTCAAGAGCAAGTCTGATACCTACCTTTTTGACGAATTGACCCCGCGTCTTGAGAAAGCTCCAATTCAGTTCAAGCTCCTTGCGCAGATTGCGGAGGAGGGCGATGTGACGGATGATGCGACGCAGATTTGGCCTGAAGAACGGAAAGTGGTTGAGCTGGGTACGATTACGATTGAGAAGACGCTAGGAGAGGATGAGAGTTTGGAGAAGCAGAGGAATGTGATTTTTGATCCTATTCCGAGGGTTGAGGGTGTGGAGTCGAGTGACGATCCGCTGTTGGAGGTGAGAGCGAATGTGTATTTGATTTCTGGGAAGCAGAGGAGGGAAGCAGAGCCCGTGAGGAGCGAGGTGGGCAAGATCACAGATGCAGCGGTGGCTGCCACGTAGAGGTGTTTGTTCTGAAGGTTTGAGATATATTGAAGGCAGTGGTGTCAACCATGGAACCATATGCGTATTGTCCACTGTTTCTTTCGTGTTTGGCTGTCTCCATCGTGAACTAAGTGAATTGTAATTATCAACACCGTTACATTCGCTTGCAGAATCGGCTTCCGGTAATGGAGAGGATGGATAAGAGCCAGGTTCTTGGGCAAAAGTGCTTGGCTAATACAAGATATGGCAGACCTAAGCAGTCTCGGCATCAAACTGTCATCCGATTCCTGTGCCCCTGTTGGTTGCAGCAGTACCACAGTAGTTGATGTCTAAGATCTAACTTAGCGGCTAATTCTAGGATACATGGCTTTGAGATGAATGGCCGCATAGAGTAAATACCAAGCTAGCTACAAACAGTTTAACTGAGGAGTCGCCAGCCGCTCACGGATTAACTTGACATATCTGTATTATTAGCTTAGAACTTAGCCAAACATTACCCTTCCAAGTGTGACCTTGCGTAACTACTAGAGCCGTGTTCTTGTTAGCAGATCATGAAAACCGTTAAGCTAAATTAGCTTGGTTTGGCCCACCTTGACACATTCGGCAGGTCGCCAGTAACGTTGGAGTTTCGTACGAAGCAAAACGGCCTCAGCTGAGAAGCCTTCAGCTGATAGTAAACTAGGCAAGCATTAGCTGCAACGAAATTTAAGGGAAATGGAAATAACTATTACCAATCAGTGCTCGATAAAGGAAAGATCTGCATTCATTGACAGCGTCGTGCAAAAGTCACATAGTAGTACCAATCGATGCTGCGCCTATATAAACACCGAGGGCTCCTTGTCTGAGACGCAGAATTCGTTTCAAAGAAGATCAATTTATCAATTCACTTCTAACATGAAGCTCATTAGTGCTAGCTTTGCATTCCTGTTCGGCGCAGCTCCGACCCTAGCGGCCGTTGGCGGCCGTTGTTCAAACAACTGGGGCGATGACTGCATTTGCCTCGACTCTAACGTGTGTCGCGATAGATGGGGCGGTAAACCTTACACCGGAACTCCTGGTAATTGGCCTTGCCCTTCGGACCCTAAAAACATCATGGCGTGTGTCGTCCCGGACTGCCCGGGCCACGGCTCCAACACTCAGTGCCTGTGGAGAGAAGGTTGCCGGTCCTTGAACGGCGGTAAGTCGTTTAATTTTGGTAACTCTAGATATAATGCGGTCCCTGATGTGCATGCAGATAAAGTTTGCCCAGGTGGACGCGACTTTGTCTGCTGCAACCATAACTACCTCGGAGGCTAAGTAGAGCGGCATCAACGGCTGGGTCGGAACCACATGAGGTACCCACATGAGTCAAATCTACCAGGAAAGCTGAAGAGATCACTTCTGTGCTAAAAATGATAGCACATACGTGTAACTAATGTGAATCTGCCGCGTTTGCAATAAAATACAACACACACAATATAACGTCGGTCACTGAGCAGCGAGTCACACTGCATGACAAGACACCACAGACAGACCCTAACATAATAAACTTTACAGCAGGTTACAAGAATATACATCATCAGAATAGAAGCTCGACGCTATAAATCCTATTCTCCCCAAATGTCTTTTAGAAACAAGTTTAGCTAAGTACGTAATGCGACAATTTCGTACAAGCGTCACGCGACTGCCTCGCTTTGGCAAGCAGCAGGTGCGTCAACAGCTTATGGATCTTATAAAAGGTCTGTTTAGTTGTATCTTGTTCCATCATCATGCTATCTTAAGCACTGCGCTAAAGCTCGAGAGGTTGTCGTGCTTCTGTGATAGTTCTAAGCGCGCCTGCTAGAAGTGCTAGACAAGAACGACCCGCACAAAACTATCATGTCGTCCTACAGCTCCGCAGACCTACCGCTCATTTCTCATCCAACCTACCACATCCTAACCATATACAAGCAATTGTTGGCCCTCACCAGCTACAATCACACGGCTGTAAGTGTATAACATCCTTCTGGGAGTCCTGATAGGCCCTCAAGCATTCGTCCCAACACAGACCTGTACCAACATCTCAACGCTTGCCTAGATATTTCTAACATCTCTAGCATGTGTTTTATAGCATGCAATACAGATCATTCCCATCCCTCGCATGGTGAGCACCAACCCTATAATTGTCTCAGCCAAATAACGGTAGAACAGCTACTTTTAGAACTACATAAACGTTAACGATTCGCCAATTCAGCATAGTTAAACCGATGGGCTCCTCTAGTAGTGCTAGCAAGGAGGACAGCAAACCCACACTAACTATAGACTTCATAGGCCTTTTAGTAGTGATTAAGGAGTGTGGTGTTATAGATACTAGTCAGAGCTAGGCGCCTCAAGTTAGTCTAAAGTATGCAGGGTATAACTCATGCTAAGAGATGCTAGCCCCCTCCCCCCAACTGTAAAAAAGAGCATGGAGTGTAGATATCTGAAGCCCATTCTGCAAGCAAGTGTAACAATTGATAAACATCTTTTATGGACGGTTGTGGTCCCACAATTTGCATGTACACTCCAAATACTACGTCAATCCCGAAAGCGTAAGCCCTTGCAGTACGTTAGCTATTCATGGATATGAGTTAAGTATGCAAGGGTCGATTGAGTTCAGCCCCTTCGCCGTTGCCACGCCCTCGCCACAATCGTACGGAACATTCATTGTGGTTATCAGTACCAAAGTAATTCATCTTCAAGAACCCCGATACTCCAGTCTTCAAAGTGGCCAGGTTCTGCTACGAAAACCAATCAGACAACTCAAATGAATATTTCTGGTTACCTACATGCGCCCCAAGAAACAGTCTTACACTACCTTTCCTTATTCTCTCCAACCATCTTCACTCAAAGCGTGCTACTCGCCGGGGATATTCCCAAATACTGGGCTAGTCACAACCCGCATACCTACCTTCAGCACCGCCCACGCCACGGGGAAGTACCAGAAATTTCGTGGGTAGTATGCAGCGCCATGTACGTATTGTGTGACCTGGTAACCGGGCATTGCCAACTTGGCACAGCCCACCCCGATCGTACCTGTACCTGGGCACAACGAATTATTTCAACTTTCTTCCGCCATGCTGACTAGTAGACGCTGGTGCTACAATGTCACCGTTTGGCTCAAACACTTGACCCGAAAAGAGTATAGTTTGTAGTACTACCTCCTAGTCCGCTTCTTTCATTGCCATCTCATGAATGCGAACAGGTATCCTTATGGCGTTTCGGTCCCTCTTTTCTCTAAGACAAGAAAACGTCGTCTGACACAGCCGGGTAAGCCATGGCGCTGCAAAGACATTCCTATCATTTTCTTTGATGAATTGTGGCGCGGTGCTTTGCGCAAGTCACGGATAGACGGAGGGGCGGCCCGGCCAATTGGCGTTGAAGGTAGTAGTAGAAATTGCGGGGAGAGCGTGATGGGATTTGTCTTGGCGATGGCCGTTTTTCTGAGGCAACGGCTGAACTGCCCTTGGCATTTTTGGTGTGTAGATGGATTGATTGGTAGGGTGAGCTCAGCTTCAGAAAACGGTGCAGCGCCATGTTGCTTGAGTGGTAAGTGCGTTGGGGGATAGAGAGGGGGATGGGGTTGACGACCACGGACACTAGAGTAAGTATGGTCGCTAGTATAACTATGTGGACTGGTTTTTCTCTAGGCGTTCTAGGTGGATGGGTCAAAGTTGTTGCACATGATAGCAGACACTATCGTGGTATTATGGATGTATTTTGAGTTTCAATGCGAATGGTCCTGAAAACAGCCAATCGAGTTAATACGGTCCTTCGTGATACGGGCGCGGTAGAGCACACCTCGAGTCGTTAAGCCAGTGTTACTTCTCTCATTCTATTCGTCAGCACGCCATTACCCGGAATCAGGCTGACTATTTCCGTCTTTGCATTTCTTGCTTTCCTCGAAACCTCGTTTTCAGGTCACTTGTCCAACGTCTTGCTCATGTGAGAGAAAGGGAGGGGCGAATCCTGTATCCTCGTTGCTAAACCATCTTTGCAGCACGATACCGTTCACTATAAAGAGCCACTGGAACTCTTGCAGAGCTGGAGCACGTGCCCCACGTCTCAAAACGTTTTCTTTCTTTTGAAGAATGTAAGTGGACGCGTTCTTGAATCCTGCCTTTGTCCGGGATAGCTTGGCAGTACACTTGCGATGCTCATAGTCATCCCTTCGGGGGGGACGAGACCTAAGCCCTTGCGCAGCGGGTGGGCCCTAGTGCCGTACATTCGTATCTTTCGCACTTTTGAGAGGTTCTTCAATGTCTTTTTGGTGTACCAGTCGCCCATTTCGCACTGTTGAATGGATGGTACAACAATTATCTTGAAATACCACCACCGTTTTCACCAAGGCCCTGCACATACGTCCTCTTTTCCATCAGACATGGCCACCGAACTCCCACACAACAAAGCTCTCGCCTTTATAATCGCCACACGGATAGCATCGATACTCTCGGTCGTAGGATCTAGTTTCATTGTCAGCACATTCGTCGCTTTCCCCTTTTTCCGAAAACGTAAGTCGGCTGACAAGTCTTTCTGATGCGATGAACTGACTCGCTTTACCAGCAATCAACCGCCTAGTCTTCTTCGCCACCTTAGGCAATATTCTCACAAATGTCGCAACACTGATGTCGAACTCGGTGTTACCAACACTGGGTGAACCTGCATCTAGCCTGTGTGAATTCCAAGGCCTTCTCATCCAATGGTTCATGGTCGCTGATTCCTTCTGGGTTCTTTGCATGGCCACAAACGTCTTCCTCGTCTTCTTTTACGGCTATGACGCGCAGCAGCTGCGCCATCTGGAAAAATGGTATTTTGCTTTTAGCTACGGTATTCCGTGTATACCGGTTATAGCTTATGTCGTGCTTAGCCGAACTGGTCATCCCGTTATAGGTTCTGCGACGCTATGGTGCTGGGTAAATGTTGATGTCGAGTGGATGCGCATAGCATTCTTCTATGTTCCTGCGTGGTGGGTTCCTATCCTTTCTCAGATAATTTTTTGTACATTGCTAATACGAGCTGTGAAGGGTCACGATTCTAGCGGCTATTACCATTTACAGTGTGACGGGGTACCGAATTTGGCAGAAGCAAGTCGAATTGCGGTTTTTTTCTCGGGACTCGAATCAATTCGTAACAGTACGGGATGCGAGCGACGAAAGAGAAAGCGCCGGAGACGTCTTTTCGGGAAGGAATACCATCGTTGTAACGACGCAGATTGAATGTGATATCCTGCAGCAAGGTGATATACTCAGGAGTGTCTCTCCAGACCCGGATTGCATTTCCATCAACTCCTTCTTGAGCACCCAAAGACTTTCCAGGATCCGCAGACCCGATGAGCTGATTTCAGGCCCGCTCCAAAATGCTTCTCCGACCCGTATTTCCAGATTGCCACTCGAGGACGTGGAAGCGCAACTCAACTTCCACCACACCCCGCCATCACGAAGCAGCTACAGAGCAACGATCATCGCCACAAACCCACCTTTAGAACCCATGAGAGCACTACCAACAGTGATATCAAAACCCCATCCTGCAGCTAAAAGATCACTAGAGGGCCATGCTGCAGCATTGGCATACTTCTACGTTGCCTTCCTCATGTTTTTAGCGTTAATCGTTGTTTGGTTGCCCAGCAGTATAAACCGCATGTATCAATTCACACACAAAGACCGGCCTAGTTTTGCTCTAAATATTGTTTCCGCGACGGTCCTGCCGCTTCAAGGTGCCTGGAATGCAATCATTTATATCTTCACTACAAGAGCAGAGTGCAGACGTGCATGGAGCATGGTAGTTGAAAAGATCACAGGCAGGTATGCGCAATATCAACCGTGGAGAGAGGTGAGCGTCAAAGAAATGATGACGAGCTCGCAGGCAACACGACAGTCGACTGTGGATGTTGAGATGAGCGATATCTTCGGGCACGATATGCAAGCACGCCAGATCAAGTCGCCGAAAAACGATCACGTGAAAGATGATGATCGACGTAGCAAATAGACATCGAAATGATGCGGTTGTGTTTCTCTATATCGTTGCAGCGCTCTGGCATGCTAGCAGTGGGACGCTCTTCGTTGTGTTATGCCAGCATGTCACGGTTCCCATCTTTTCACCGTTTGTTTTCTGTCACTGTAAAGTGGTTTCAAGTGGTGATAAGTCGAGCAATCTCGGACTATCGTTTTACATTTCGGTTTCTTGCTTCCTGTCACTTTGGGCGGCTTAGTTTGATCCCCGAACTTGATGGCATGGTACCCCCCAGGTGTTTGGCGCATGGCGTTTTATTGTTTGCGCTTTCCAGCATTGCATGCTTGACCAAGAGCCAATAGTATTGCATTGAGAACGCAATCTCAAACAGTCCCTTTTTCGTAATCATCCTAGAATTTGAATTCTATCTCACATAATCGACTAGGATTGGATGCTTAATGAAACCGTGTTTACAGATGTCCAATTTCGTATAGTGCATTTTAGTCTGTTCGTGTCAGCACGTCCTTGCCGGAAACCCGGACATCGCCGATCGCTAAATGCCTTCTACGCGTACGACCCGGTGTGGCCTTGTGGTCCCTCCGCTGGCTCATCTTTATCACGTCCATGAGCGTATTCTTCGTCACGTGGCTGAGTGCCCATCATTATGTATCTCATCAGCCGATTTTGGCATTTGAGAAGTCCATCTCGGGATGCTGCTCCTGGAACTTTTTCAAGATGTCGGCCTTTTTCTGTTCGTCGCTGGTGGGCTTGCCTTGTTCCTTTTGCCTCTGGTCGTACATCATCTTCTCGACCATGCCCCGCGTCTCTCCGTCGAGGTCGCCCAGCTTGCTGTTCTCAGGCTGGATCTTGGAAGTGTCGATCTTGGGGGCAGTGGTGACAACATGGGGCCACCACTCGAGCTGGTTGACTTTGTCGAGATGAATTGAGATTTCTTTTGCGGAGCCGGTTGAGGCGAGTGTCCAGGTGGAATCGTCAACGCGGATGGGGTGGGGAAAGTCGCCGTGCAGGATGGGTGTCTCGCCCTTGATGCCAGCCTTGATTGAGTTGCGACCGATGTTGATGTCGAGGTCCTTGCCTTTGTACTTGGCGTCAATGGTGATGGTGATGTCAAGGTCCTTGATGGTCTGGTCCCACTTGTACGGCAAAGCGGCCTGCTCAGCCTGCTCCTTTGCGCGGGCATCGGCGTCGGCCTTTTCGCGTTCCTCTGGGGGCGGTGAAGCAGACATTTTGTGGTGTGGCTGTCTGGCTGTGCGTATGCGGTGTGTTGAGAAAAAGTTTCGTGTCGTGTTTGGAGGGGGAGGGGGAGGACAGGCGGGACCCTGAGGGCGGTGGGCGCAACCAAGAAGGGACAGGGAGCGTCATCGCCCAAGGGACCTGAGCAAGCTCCACCATGCGCCCTGCCTCGCTCCTCCACCCCGGCCAGCTCTAATAACGGCCATCGACCGCGGTGCTGCGACCTACAGGCCTCACCTCACCCTCTCCTCTATTCATAGCCCACGTCTCGCCCGTCCAGCCCACATCTCTTCCGCCCTGCCCCCGCGCCGTAATGCTGCCCTAGGACCAGCAGAGCCATTGCGATAGTGCAACGCGACCATCTTCATCTGGACCCGGACGACCGTCGGAGCGTCTTGCCAGCGGCCCAGTCGGGCACCCATCTGCCCGGCGCGGCAGTATTCCTAGCAACTCATGGCCAGCTCCTTTGAGAAGAGCGTCAAGGGCGGCACCAAGATCAAGGCAAGTATGCGCTGCTTCTGCACCGAGTCGCAGCCGGCTCATTGCCGCTACTATTGCCATTGCCACGGACTAACACACCCGCCAGCTCGCAGCACCGAAATCAAAGTATGTCGAACACATCCTCGTTGCGACACACGCCGGCGAAGCAGGCGTCGCTGAAATCTTCCGCGCCCTCACCAACCGTCTGCGCGACTCGACATGGACCATTGTCTTCAAGAGCCTTATCATTGTCCATTTGATGATAAGGGAGGGCGAGCCCGAGGTTACGCTCAAGTTTCTTGCCCAGAATCCCCACCGGAAACTGGCCATCAATCACTTCACAGAGGGTACGTCTCGAGACATGTACGCCGCAGTGCTCGGACAGCGGATCCGCTGGCCGGGCTTATTGGGGTGACAGGCGGATAAACTTTGGCTTGTGCTAGTTGACAGGATTGGACCGCTGACGTTGCGCCCAACAGTGCAGACCCAGGGACACAATATCCGCACCTATTCCGAATATCTGCTCCGCCGCGCCATCGAATATGGCTCCACCAAGGTTGACTACGTGCGTGGCGGTGAGGGCCGCCTCAAGCGCCTGACCATAGAGAAGGGCCTTCTACGTGAAGCAGAGAGCGTGCAGGACCAGATCAGAGCGCTGCTCAAGTGCCAGGTATGAGAATGTCCCTTATCAGCACATTCACACCCGCGCTGACTTCGACCCCAACAGCCATTCGATGACGAGCCCGAAAACGAAATCACGCTGACTGCCTTCCGACTGCTCACAATGGACTTATTAGTGCTATTCCACGTCATGAACGAGGGCACTATCAACATTCTTGGTGGGTTGAGCGTGCATGCTCGAGCTTCACCGTACTAACGAACCAGAACACTACTTCGAACTATCAAAACCCGACGCAACACGCGCCCTCGCAGTCTACCGCACTTTCGTCAAGCAAACCGAAGCCGTTGTTCAGTACCTTAGCCTCGCCAGATCGCATGAACACTCAACACGATTGGAGATTCCACGAATCAAGCACGCCCCGACTAGTCTGGCTGCATCGTTGGAAGAGTACCTGGCCGATAAGGACTTTGAGATCAATCGACGACAGTACATTGCCGAGAAGGAGGCGAAAAAGAATGGGGGCAAGTCCACCAATGGGGCGAGCAAGTCTACGGACTCAAAGTCGGCCTCTAGCAATACTACTAGCCAGCAGCCAGCAGCTGCTCCGACCAAGCCCTCTGCAAGCGCACCTTTGATTGATCTGTTCGAGTCACTCGAAGACAACCAACAAACCATGGCTACACAGCCAATGATGCAGCAGTATCCCCAACAACCAAGCTTCCAGGTTCCACAGCAGACAGCGAACATGGGCTTCCCCCAACAACCACAGGCTTTTCCAATGCAAAATGGCCAGGGCACGAATCCCTTCCAACTCGGCCAACAGCCCCAAGCACCCCAACTCCAGGCCCAGTTTACCGGCGCAGGCTTTGGCGGCTACTCGCCACAGCCTTTCAGCACACAGAATACCATGCCATCAATACCACAGAACGGCATGTCTGATTTCTCACAACAACAGCAACCACAGCCTCTGCAGGTTCCTCTCATTTCCGAGCCTCTCCAGTCTCTGCAGCCTCAGCAAACCTCAACAAATCCCTTCCGCCAATCGATGCTACCCAACAGTCCGACTGGTGCCAGCTCACTCAACCGCGCATCAACGAATCCGTTTGCAAAACACAATACTGGTCTTTCGGCACAATCGCAGTCGCCGGTCAATTCTCCGCCCTTTTCCATGCCTTCTGTTCAAGAGTCACCATTTGCCCTGCAACAGCAGCCACAACAACAACCCCAGCCTCTACAGCCTACACCTACTGGCACGAATCCATTCGCAAGACAACCATCGCCACAAAGCACCCTCTCCCCACAGGGTGGACTCACTGTGCACGCAACGGGTAGCACCAATCCTTTCCGACAAAGTGCATTTGTCAATCAGCAGACCGGCCAGGGATGGCAGAATGCAGGCAGTCAAGGGACGTTAGGAGGGATCAACCTTGACCAAGTGCCGACAACAAGTGTCTTTCCACGGCCCGGACAGCAGCAACAGCAAAATTTTTTGGGATAGATTTTAGGTGACGAAGCAATGGTGATACTGTTTTGTAATTGTGGTAGACTGTTGGCAGGGATTTGGGGCAGCTTGTGATTTCCTTTTGTGCGGAGTTTCTTCAATGCTGCGTGACATGATTTGTGAGTAATCGCTCTGAAATAACCGTACTGGACTGCATTCATACAGGAGTAAGAATGAGTCACTATTCGTAGGGTAGCAGAAGATGCTCGAAGTCGGAGGTTCTTGAGGCGGACTGGGCTTTTTTGTAACTCAGATGATCAAATCATCACTTTCTTGTTTATCTTCGAGCCAGGCATCTGTAAGGAGCCACTCGCTAATGAAACACACATAATATACATTTTTTCTTTTGGTCTTTCACCGTAATTGGGTGAATACTTGACTCCATTCGTAACACAGTGCCTTTGATTGAAGGGACCGAGGTGGAGTAATTGCAGGGATTGTATAAGCCACGTGACGACGTGACTTCCTTACAGATTAGCGCGACGGACGATGCCGGGTCAGACAAACGTTACGACCTGACTATGCTCACAGTAACACGTTGGGCGGGAGATTTTGATAGCTCCTCTCGAGTGGTCATGTCTCTTACAATCTTTCGGTCTCACCGCTCTTCGCTTGCGCTGATTTGAGCGTGGATTCTCCTTCATCCTGACCCGGCTCACCGCAATGGCATGCGGCGACTTTCTCGACGCGCCCATCACTCTCGAGGACGATGATAATGATGAAAATTACAGATATCTGCATGCGCCTGTACCTGTACCACCTGTAAGACGGTTCAATACACAGACGCTGGAACAAGGTGATATTGAAGAGGTGGAGCATCGAACTGCCTGGGAACAAGCCGTCGCACAAAGGGCAAGGGTAAAACAGTCTGTCAACCAGCTACTAAGGGGTCATCAACAAGTTGAACAAAGAAGCATTGCGGAGCCATCACTGAAACGGCCGCCATCAGTCAAACCCATCACTATCATCGATCTGCTGACCGATGAAGACGCACCAGTCCGCCCCAGAGTGACGCAGCAACTTACAGGCGCGGAGATACTAAACCAATCAATTCTGGATGTGTGTCTATCGTCACCTCAGCGTCCTGAACAGTACAAGGATACGGTCGTCCCACAGCTGTCAACCTCACGCCCTCCACTGGAGATTACGCAACCCAGCAGCTTCCTATCGCAGACATCTCCAGTCAGGTCTGTGCCAGCTATTCCCATCGGTGCAATACTGAATCACGATACTGGCTTTTCCATATCTATTGAAGACAAAGCACACTACCCATACCCGTTGCACAAACCCGTGGCAACAAATGACACAGTACCTTCCTTCTCGCAACCAATCGGGGATCTCGCCGACCATCAGCGCGAACGGGCCACTTGCCGTCGCGTAAACACCTCTGAGCGCGCAACCGCGGCAGCGCATGCCAACAAACTCGAATCCCCGTTTCCTATGGCTGCAAAAGCCCGTATGTCTGATTTCTCCGGTAGTGTCACTTTGGTTCAGCCGAAACAGAAAGCGATCAAGTCAGTGAGGCAAAAGAATTATGTCCAGATCAGAGCGCCGCAACATTCGACAAGCAGTCACAAACCAACAAACAATCACAAATCGACAGATTACCATCACAAATTGCCGTACGCATTGCAAGATGAAGTCCTATTTCAAAGAGAGACGGCCAATGCAGAACCTCGAGCCGTGAGCCCCGCACCATTCCAAGGGCCCCTATCTCAGAATAGCACCGTGTCGAATCTTGAAGTTAGTCTAACGGAAAGACCAAAAGGCCATGATGCCACACTGGATCCACTACCTTTAGACCCTCAAGAAAGAGCTGAGTCTGTTCCTGGCGATCATCCAAAAATTCAAGAGTACCATGGATATAATCCTGCAACACTTCCACGGACATTCAGTGAGACAGCAGCCAGCACGGCAAACACAACACCTGTCGAGGTGTCTTTCCGCAAAGGCACACCACCTGTGAAGGATGTGACTCCTAATGTCAATAGCGTTTGGTCAAGTCACGTGCATGATCTTGCTGCAACGCGGTCGGCAATAGATGAATGCCTAAAACGGCATATTGCTGAGCGGAACGAAGCGCATGCGAAGTTGACTTGGATTAAGCTGCGCCATCAGAGGACATGTCAAGAACGAGACCTCCGCGCCCGCCGCAAACAGAAGTTTGCTACCCAGCCGACTTTGCCGGAGGAATTCATTCAACATACTTCTCCCTTTGCAGATATACCTGTTGTACAAATGCCGTTTGATCGAAGCTGGGCTTCCAAAGGTCTCCCTGACATGGCACAAGAGGTTTTTGTCAAAGCCAAACCAAGAGATACTGTATTTCGATCCGGATTATCGGCTCATACAACAAAGTTCCGGTCGGAAGCTGTGGTCATACCTCCTTTCAAGGAATACGTTAGCTTGAGAAACAATATTCTAGCTGACAACGAGTCAAAGTTGCTCGCGACACCATACTTTGAAGATGAAGATTACGAAAGCCGGCTAGCTCTATTGGATGCGCTTCCGACTATATACGAATTAACACACGACGAGAAGGGACCAATCGATCTACGCAAAGAGCAGTGTCGGTTCTACAGAATTGCGATCGAAGCTTTCCTAGGCGAGATTGGCGTGACTTGGAACGAAGTCCTATACTGGTTGCTGGCATCCGACGATGTTATCAAGCAGATCAATACTGGCATGTCTGGAAGCGAGGATTTCTCATCCATATTGCTTGAAAGATCGCAGTACAGCATTGAGGAATTTGAGCGAGATGAGGAGCTCAAGGAAACAACTTTATTCGACCGTGACGATGAGAAATGGCAGGACTTTATCAAACAACTCGAGAGACCTTCTGCAATGACCCTGAGGCTCGCGGCCATAGCTTGCTCTGCTGTGCTACATGAATGCGAATTCAGCATATGGTATCTGGCCCAACAGTCTGATATTGTCCAGAACAATATTCTGAGGAAGACTTTAACTGGAAAAAATCCTGTCCAATCTTCATATAGACAGATTTGGTGCAGGGTGTGTCACCAGTAAGTGCAAATCTATGATGCGCTGTATTGACATACTGATGACGTTCCCAGGCACAATTGCCTCCTCCATGGCGAGTTAAGGCAAGTTCCCGAAGATTCGTGGATGACTGAGTCAGACGAGGACGATGACGAGTTTCAGAGTAGCCGTCGCAACTCAGGAAGTACGCTCGACGAAGACTCGAGTCCTTTGCCTGCGCATTTCGACGACGATTCAGACATTGAGAAGGTGATCAATTACAAGCTACCAGCAAATGCCGACGCATTCAACGCCTATCCCGAATCAGAAATGATTGCATCTAGAGGTGCGAAACCACCCCCAGGAAAATTCAATGCGCACTGGTGGTTGCAACGGGATCTCGTGCAGCACTGGGAGAAGCGTAAACCATTCTTTCCATGCAATCACGAGGGTAGCTGCGAGGATGCAAGATGCCGGTGCTACCGGGAGGGCATCACCTGCGAGAAGACTTGCAAGTGCTCCCAATCATGCAATCGGCGGTTCCCTGGTTGCGGCTGTTTGGTCATTCCAGGAAAGCGGGTTTGTGATTCAGACAAATGCCTCTGTGTCAAATTCAACAGAGAGTGTGATGCAGAACTCTGCGGATCCTGTGGCGCGACTGAAATCCTCGATCCTGTCAACCGATACAACGAAGATGTAGTAGCCCGCAACTGTTTCAACGTGGCAATTCAGCGGGGTGTTCCTCGAAAGACGTTGCTTGGACACTCAGAAGTACATGGATTTGGGTTGTACATGGGCGAAGATATCGAGAAAGGAGAATATATTGGCGAATACACTGGCGAAGCTATCTCAGTCAATGAAGGCAACCGCAGACTCACCATCTACGACTATCAGAAGACGATGTATCTGTTTCGTCTGAACTCGAGTAAGTTTTCCTATTACGTCTTGTTGATATAGTCCTAATCAGCGCGTAGAACAAGAAGTGGATGCTACATATATGGGCAACAAGCTCCGCTTTATTAACAATGCTGATGACAAATACACCAACTGTGCGCCGAGGAATCTCCTCTGCAACACTGTCTTTCGCATAGCACTCTTTGCCACAACCAACATCAAGGCGGGTACAGAATTGTACTTCAATTATAATTATCCGAAAGAGAAGACAGCACAGTTCAAGCAACCAAACGGCAAGGTTGTTGCGGTCAAAGAGACCAAGCCAAAGGTGAAGAGGGTGGATGCAGGCAGCAAAACCAGCCAACCAGTTGTGGAGCGCGACCGATCACGTATACTGGCAGCTACTGCAAAGGCTAGAGCCGCCAAAGCGGCTAAGAGGGCGGCAATGCTAGAGGAAGAAGCCAGGTTAGCACTTGCAAAGTCTCTACCAGGACCATTCCGAGCACGCAAGACTGCCACTGGCACGCCCAGTGTGAAGAGAGCGTCGAAATTGCGAGACAGTCTCTGTAGAAACGAGTCTACTGGCTCCGACACTGGCCTCGACGTTGAAGTGAGTGATGGCGAAATGTCCGTAGCTGGTGCATCACAAGAGACGACGACAAGCCAGTACGTGGAGGACACGGACGAAGATGGAGAATTTACTACAGGTGATAGCCAGGAAAACGGATATGAAAACGTGCGCAGGTCTGCACGGCATGGTAGTGCTGTGGGGCACCGGAGGCCAGGCAGACCGCGCAAAAGGGGGTCTGATGTTGCGCCGGCGATGGCCACTGAGAGGAGGAGTGGGAACTTGGGCGGAGCGCGACCGGGTGCTGGTAGAAAGAGGAAGAGACCCGTCATTCTTAATAGCGATGACGAGTGAGATGACTTTATCAGTAGAATGAGGAGCGCAAAAAACAGAGAGACAAAAGGGGACATGATTCAAGGCAGGCTTTTATAGATTTGGTAAATATACTATAAATGATACCCAGCTTCCATCATCTGTCAATTTGCTTAGCTAGAAGATGTAAATCATGCGGTTGACGCATGTAGTGTATGGAGCCGTCTCCCTTTGCTCTTGACATGGACATATACGGATTTTGCATATGTCCTGGCTTCCTACAAACATCCACACACACGTACCTTTTTAATTAGGTTCCCTTCTACAACAGCAAGTCGCGCAGCCTTGCTATCGTTATCCTCTTTCCTACCGAAGCGCATCTTCGCGCCATATATCCTCCAGCAAACCCCCCAAACCCCCAATCCAATTGCCGTTATGCATCGCTTCCGCTAACCTTCCCACCCCCCACCCTTTCAAGGCGCTGCAGTAACAAAAGCAACTAAAGCCTTGACCGCATCCCCCTCATTCGCCCGCAGCAACTCGGTCGCTTTCGCTTTTGTAATCTCCAACTCGGATACCTATTTTCGGAAGTTTCCTGTCAGTCCAAGTATTCACGGTTACCAGTGTAATATCGATCTTCCCCCTCTTTTCGACTCCTCCAAATCCCATACAATGTATGTGAGGAAACACTAACGTACCAAAACCGCAACATCCCCCGCCTCGATCTTGACATTTTTCTTCTTTTCCTCCTCGGCTTTATCCTTTACACTAAGCCCTTTCATCGCTTTATCGAGGGCTTTGCCATCGACTTCTTTTTTCGTGCCATTGGAAGGTGTCGAGGACGTGTCGTCGAGGGCGGGGGTAGAGGCGCCTTCGTGGATGGTGGAGGGTTGGGGTTCTGCCATTGCGATTGGAGTGCGGTGGTGGGCGTGAGGGTGGGCGCTCAATAATAGCTATGGAAGGTAAGTCAATTGGAGAGGGCGGACAGTGACGAGGGTTGTGGGGTAAATTGCTGGGAATTTCTGGGTACGCTGGCCAATTAGAAAATTTCGGTGTGCTGATTGGATAAGATGAGGGAGGGTTTTTTTTTATTGCGCACATGGGATATGGAACTGGATTTGCAACTTTACAACGTTTGAGTTACAGAGAACTTGTCGCTTTGCATTGCACTGGGCTCTTGGGCGCGTTTCGCTTTTGAAATACAAGGTGAGTTTACCGCACCCGGTTATGGCATTTGTTGGTTTGCGTTTCTGTGGCAGATTCTTGGTTTTCTTGAGTCATGCGCGACTTTGCACGCCTTTGTTCGGGTGTCCCGCGGTCTGGGTAGGGATGAACACCCCTGCCGAACTTTGTTTTATATTAACGCTGTAATCAAAGTGACTCAAAACATTATACGTGGTTTGAGCTGACTTTCCTCCAGTCATTGCACGTGGTTTGGTGCAAGGTAGCACGTACGTTGTAGACCACGAGCGGGATTTGCAAAGTTTACTTACTCCACAGTTACATCTACGACATCACAGTGGAAAGTAAACGCCAACTCAGCCAAAAGTCATGGAAATTTCAAACCAAGGGTCAGCAGCGAATGACGGGTCCGAGGGATGGTCACCGGATTGTGAGGACGAATGCTACCACTCAAGTACACATACTGACGAGATGTAGCGTGGAGGTCAAAGCCTATCAAGCAGGTTGTCACTTATGAGGATCAAGCAGCGGTGACTTCTGCTTTGACGAAGCTATCAAGTCTACCGCCAATTGTGACACCAACAGAGATTACCAGACTCAAGGCCAGTCTGCGTGATGCTGCCCTCGGCAAAGCCTTCTTACTCCAAGGAGGCGACTGCGCCGAGTTGTTCTCTTACTGCGCCGACAACCCAATTGACGCTAAGATCAAGCTTCTTTTGCAGATGAGTTTGGTCTTGATTTGGGGATCAAACAAGCCCGTCATTCGCATTGGCCGTATCGCGGGACAGTATGCGAAGCCCAGATCAAGCCCTACCGAGATGCTGGATGGCAAGGAAATCCCCAGTTTCCGAGGCGACATCCTCAACGGCTACGATCCAGAGGCTAGGAGAGTGGATCCAGAGAGGCTGGTCAGCGCCTACTTCCACTCTGCGACGACACTGAATTACATCCGTGCACAGCTTGCAAGCGGCATTGCTGACTTGCACAATCCATTGGACTGGGAACTTGGCCATGTCCGAGACGAGCAACTGCAGTCAAAATACTCGCAGATTGTAAACAGCATATCTGACTCTCTTCGCTTCATGAAGACTATCGGTGCAGATACTTCTGGCCAACTACAAACAGTGGACCTCTTCACCAGCCACGAAGGTCTTGTACTAGAGTACGAACAGAGCCTGACAAGACGGCTCAAACATCCAGCTGGCTACACACCGTCTCAAGGCTCAAATGATGGCAAGGGCTGGTACAACACTTCTGCGCACTTCATCTGGATTGGAGACCGAACACGCCAGATTGACGGTGGCCACGTAGAATACTTCCGAGGTATTGAAAACCCCATTGGTATCAAGGTCGGGCCGTCGATGAAGAATGATGAGCTAGTGGAGCTGCTCAATATCGTCAACCCCAATAAAGAGATTGGCAAGATTACTTTAATTACCCGCTACGGTGCAGATAAGGTTGAGTCGATGCTAGGCGCACATATCGAGGCTGTGAAGAGCAGTGGACATATTGTTGTCTGGCAGTGCGACCCAATGCACGGGTAAGTTGTGTTTGTGCATCGTATATTCTACATTGGCTAATCTCCCCCTAGCAACACGCGCAGTACCCCAACTGGCATCAAGACCCGCTCCTTCAACAGCATCTTCTCTGAGCTGTCGTCTGCTCTCAAGATCCACAAGCAGCATGGGTCTTTCCTGGGTGGCATGCATCTTGAGCTTACTGGTGATGCGGTTACCGAGTGCACGGGAGGAAGTGAAGGTCTTGTAGACGAGGACCTGAGCTTGAACTACACAACCTACTGCGATCCCAGGTTGAACGAGAAGCAGGCTCTGGAATTGGCGTTCCTAGTTGCAGGACATTACCGTGCGGATGGCCAACTACCATAGATCTGAATCATCTTTCACGCGGTAGAACCGTATCATGTAAAAAGTTCCTATGTTAGCAGACCCGACTCCAAAAACATATCACACTGATAATATCTTCGATTTTAATACAAACAGTTATCAATCAGTGAACACCCTTTTGATTCGACAACCCAGACTTGGCACATGGAATCTCTCATACATCATCGTCACGACGCCTGGCCCGAGCTTCGACAAAGTTGCCCCCAACAAATGCATGCCTGTTATCGCACCCGCTCCGCCGTTATCACCACCCATACCTCTCTCACGCACTCACTCCTATCAAATAACCGCAAATATCCCCACACACAATTTACCCCTCATTCCCAACAAAAAATAGCCCTACAGGGCGCCAAAGATAAACACAATGGGCGCTTCAGCATCTAAAGGCGCAAAAGCCGCTGCCGGCTCCGCAGCTCGTAAATACCCCTCAAGACCACCGACAAACACTACGACTACAGCGTCTTCGGCTCCTGCACAGAACGCTGCAGCCGGACCCCGTGTACATCCTGCGCCGCAGGCTACGAGTGAGAAGACAGAAGGTACGGTAGTTTCCTCCATTGGGTTCCAGAAGCAAATTCCTTGGTTCCTTGCTCCCTCTCTTTCCATGGAAAAAGCCACACAACTAACTCTCTCTCGCTCCCCATTTAACAGCCGTGCTACAAGATGCCCGTGACCCAGCCTTTGCTTCCCGCCTGAATAGCCTCGGCGCTGTACAACCGAATCCGCACTTTTCGCTGTCGTCGATGTCGCAATTCGATCCCCGCCGCAATGCCTCGCCTAATCTGCCGTCGGACACAATGATGCAGGATGCGCCACAGTCGGCGTTTCCTGATGCAAGAAATAATCCTGTGCTGCGCGTGCTCGAGTCACGGCAGCAGATTGCTGAGGTGGCAGAGGAGGAGCTGAGAGAAGTGGGGAGGAGGGGGTTCCAGGGGAGGCGGTATGTGGATGCTGGGGTGATTACGTTGGCGTTGATGAGGAGGGAAAAGGGGGAGCCGGATGAGAGGATTGAACAGAGTTTGGGGATTAAGAAGGGAAGGTTGGGCGTGTTGACCAAGGGGACCGTGGGCGCGGTGGCGTTGGGGTAGAGAGGTATGCACTGGAGAAGAGATGGATGTGTGTGGGAGTAAGTATTCAATTTGGACAGCAGCAGCACCCAGGCCGACAGCGATCGTGGTTCCCTGACCTACGAGAGAGAGAAGAGTGTACATATGTGTACATATGAATGGAGACAACAAACGAAAAGAAAAACGCAGCCCATCTGAACGCCGGATTGAACCTTTCCATCCGACGCTATGCGCTGCCCAAGTCGTTACCCGAAAGCCAAACCAACACCAGACGAAATGCAGGAAACAAAAGAAACAAGGCAAGAAAAGTACAAGAGAAAAAGAATAAGAAAAGAAGGATGGTGTTCATGATTCGTCGTAGTCGGCGTTTTCGTGGATGAAGTTGTTTAGTGCAACCAGTGCCTCTTTCAAGCACTCCTGGTCGACCTCGAGGCCGTCCCGGCACATTTCATCGTAGCCTATCCTGACCACGCCACCGGGGTTTGGTCGTGATCGCTTCTGGTTCCATCGTCGGGCAACCTCCCATCGTTTACGGGTCTGGGTGAAGGGCGGGCATGAATCGGCAATTTCTCGGCGTTCGCGCAGCACGGTGAGGGCATTGAGGACGTTCAGGAAGATACTACATAGGCAGAGAGTCAGTAAGGGTGGACAATGGTAGAGCAAAGCAAGGTGTGCAACGTACCCTTGGGTCAGCTCGATGTCATGGTCCCATCCGTACGCCACTTCGCTGAAGCTGTTTCCCTGCGCGACAATGTCCAAGAAGACAAAGAGCGACTCCTCGACGCTAATTTCGGGTGTGATTTGCGACGCGACATTGGCCAGGATCCAGTCTGATAGTTCGAAGAAGGTCTTTTGGTCCATGTGGGCAAAGCTGATGAAGCGTTCGGGGACGGTGAACATGAGCGACATGGCACGTCGTGCACCCATGGCCTCTATGCCGTCCATTGCTGAAGGAGATGGGTCGAGTGGTGTGGGTGAATAGGCGAGCAGTATGGTGCAGTAGTAATGTGTGGTAGTGCGGAGTGGGATGTGTGGTGTTTGGAGAGCGGAGTCGAGGATGTCAGGTGAGCGGGTGAGGGGGCGGGCGGAAGATGATGGGATAGCCCAGCTGAGGAGAGCGGGTAGCGGCAATGAATATCAGTTGGATACCACCACAGCACAGCACAGCAGTCGGACAAGGCAAGTGCCGTCGGTCGCCCAGGCCGAAACAAAGTAAGGACAAGGTCGAATTATTTTTTCCGTGCCGGGAGATAGGAGCAATCGCGAGGGATGACGACGGAGGTTTTTTTCGCCTGCTCCTTTTACTTGGTCGATGGGGCAAGTGGGTTGGAGTTTGAGCGGAACTTGACGACTTGTTCCCTGGTTACGCAAGCTTCTAGGGCAAGTGAAGCGCACCGTGGGACTTTGCATATGCGTGCGTGGGGCCGTTGTCCGTGTTGCGTGCGTGCCAATGCAAAAGCTGCAACACGCTCTTCTTTCATGTGAAAGTCGGGCACGGACCAGGCGTGAATGACATCAGCATCCAATCACAAGACCAATGGGACGACACCAAGACGAGGCGTCGCGCCAGCTCTGGCGGCGCTCCGGTGCTCGCGTAGCCACTGTTTGCGCTTGCTGGATTGCCGCACGCCGACTGTGGTTCCCGGCGCGCCCGTTTCCCCGCTCTGGCTGTGCCATATTTGCATCTCAAGTTGGACATGGTGGTGGTGTGGTGTGTGCGTGAGGGGGCAGCGAGCGGTTGGTTGGACGGTAAATTAAGGCGCCCTTGAGCGCGAGCTTGGCCGAGAAGGCTACTGACGCTCGGTCTAGACCGCATCGGGCGGATTGACGGGCCCAGAGGCTAAATTCAGCAGGTGGGTTCTCGCGCCCTCGGTGTGCCGCTCACCCTTGGCGGCGTCGCGAGTGTCTGCGACTAGTTGTTTGACTACACGGAGACGGCGTCCTCGGGCCTAACACACAAGGTCAGAGCCAAGCCCCGCGAAGATACTCCGACGCGCTGACTAACGGCTGAGGGGGCCTGGGAGGCCATACTGCCGTCATTTGTCGAACAAGTTATCTACTATTCCTTAGAGCCCTGCCCGCCCACGTGCTCAGCGAAGGAACAATGGCCTCTTCTTCCTAGCAGTGTATTTGTACTGTACACCACAAGTACTATGTCGGTACGCGAGGCAACAAGTCACGTTACCTCATTATTCAGCATTCGTCCCATCCTACGGGATGGACTCACCAACTCTCCCTCCAGCTGACTAAGGCCGGATGCCTTGCGCCCTCACTACCACCGCTCATCAACAAAACACCACCCACGATCGACACGCTGTTTTGCTTTTGCCCTTCCCATGAGATTTCCTCTGCACATCGACCACCCATCGCTCCCGCGCAAAAGCACAATCTCCGCACCCGCCCTGAACGTGCACACTCCACTCTAAACCTAAATGCTAGGCTACATCTCCTCAACACGTAAAAAGAGTTGCACGGCTTGCGTAAAGGCCAAGCGGCGCTGCGACCTGGGCTACCCCTTTTGCAAACGCTGTTTTGTCAAGGGCCTCGACTGCGCATATCCCAATCCACGTAAAACGCCTGTTTCGGTCCGCGACGCTGAGATTGTTATCAGGCACACTGACATGCCGCCGCCGCCAACACGCGACACCAGCCAGCCTATAAATATCGCTTCCGCTACCGCTGCAGCTAACGCGGCCACAAGCGTGGAGCCGGACTGCAACTTTGGTAGCCCCCGTGTCAACCACACTCAGGAACTTGGCCATGCAGCTCGCGACCCGTGGATAGTATTAAGGCGTGACGGCGAGTCGAGCGAATCTGACGAGATCTCATCGTCGTCTTCGTCGAGTCCAGAGGTGTGGATGGGACATGACAATCCGCTGACGCTGCGTCCGCCGCTACGCAGAACCTTGCTCCCAACCGTAGTCGTACCTGTGCTGCTCAACGAGCGGCAGAGTACCTTCGTCATAGAAAGGCTGTGCTTGTTGGTCCCCAGCATGGCATGTTCGGGTACAACGCATTTCTTGCATCGCAATCTGTTTGTCGATCACGATCAGCCCGTGGCATATCAAGATTGCGTTGCCATATCTGCCCTCTACATGGCCCAGAATGCAAGCTACACTGCTAACATCCTAGTCAATACTATCCACTCCAAGATCGCTGCCTTGGTGAAAGAGGCGCCAACGTGGTCGTTGATGCAGCATCTAGCAGCTGTACAAGCGCTCATCATTTATCAGATTATCCGTCTTTTTGATCCTATTTTGGGTGCGCAGGAACAGGCTGTCAAGCATAATGTGCTGCTTGAACAATGGGCTGCAAGTCTGTTCCATCGCTCGTGTTATGACATGCCCTTTTTTGCGGATGAGCGCTCGCGTTGGGTTTTCACCGAGTCGCTACGGCGCACCTTATTCATGGCTGTGTTTACGCGATGCTCGTGGAGTGTTTTCACCTGTGGCGGGCTTGCGAGTCAAGTCCATGTTTTGGCTGGTATGCCGCTGACAAAGGACCTGGCGAGATGGAGTCAAGAAGAAGACAAAGCGCTGTGTCAGGGTGAGAGCATGCAAAGTCAAGAGAATGAGTTAATTTCTTATGTCGACATGTCGGTGGATTGGTCACATGACAAGTCTGTCGAGGAGCTGGGGTCTTTTGGGCAATTACTTCTTGCGCCTTGTCGTGGTCGTGACGACTTGAGGTTGCTGGGGTGAAGTTACCTGTTGTTGGCTTCACGACCAAACCCCTCTTGGTACGCCAGATTCCAAAAGTCGACGACAAACTCTCCACCTTCATGCAGCAAGTCCACAAAGGCTGGATGCTTCCCAAAAGTGTCCACCTCAAGTACAATATACTCGACCACTAGCTGCCTCAATTCGTCCTTTGTGCCATCGTCCTTCCTGTCCTCGCCCTGTGTGTACGCATATCTTGCGAGCTCAACAACATCCCCTACGCGTCGCTTATAGAGTTTGAAGCTGAGTAGCGTCTCGTGGAGCTTGTGTAGTGTCAAGCGTTTGAGCGGGTCGACTAAACGCATACAAGCAAACGTGTATAGCCGTGCGTGTGCTAGGAACACTGGTGTAAAGTCTTCATCGGGCGCAGTATTTTCACAGGGCTGGAAAGCCGCGACCATGGATTTTTGGGGCTCGTTCGAGGTCAGGCAATTGCGCTTGTCAAACTTAGTACGTAAAGACATTCTTGATAACCTCGTGAAAAATTGACTAGCGAACACCCGGCTTTCCCTCCATACGGGGGTGTCATCATCATCGAGTTCCACGGGAGGCTCGGGTACAGGTACAGACTCGGGTACGTCTGGTAATTCTTCTTCCACGGGTGGCGCTGGTACAGCTTCAGGCCCGGGTATGTCTGGATATTCTTCTTCCACTCCGGCTTCTGGCGGAACCGGCACGTTCTCTGCTATGTATCCCTCGTCTTTGACCCATGTTGGGACAGTATAGTCGTATCGATATGTGTATTCAAGAAAGCGGGCAAAGTCGTCAGGTTTTATATCAGGGTATTCGACACTGTCGGTCTGTGACTCTGACAGACCATTCGTCAAGAGCGCGCGAAAATAAGAAGATGTTGCGGCAACAGCTCTGCTGTGCACTACGAACAATTTCTTGTCCTCATCCTTCCCAACAACAAATGTAAACAGCTTAGATTGAATTAGCCTGCCAGGAGTTCGATGTCAGCAAGTCAGCCACATGGGTTGCTTTGATTCACCTACTTTTCAAAGGGAACGGGGCATGCAATGCCGTTTGAAATGCCTCTCTTTTTACCTTTCTTTGCCATGGCAGCAATGAGATTGTCTATGTTGTTTACAGATCTCAGGAATTGCATTACATGCTCAAGATATAAGCGCCCAAGGCGGGGTTGCACAGCACAGCCTGATGTAAACAGCGCGCGCGTGGTGTAACACGGCATGATCTTCCTCTCTGTGGCGTCCAGTTATGTTCGCTGAATGCATGGTTATCTGCAATGCGCCGCATCCAAGCATGCCACTTCATACATTAAAACAGGTGGCCGTATGATGAATGCGATTTATTCAAGGGATACTATTGGCCAATGCGACCGTTTCCCTGCCCAGTACCAACCACGTGACATAGCCTTGCTGTACAAGTAGAACCCCCAAAACCATATGTACTGGTTAAAGAATCAGCCTGATCGTGAGCAGATATCTGTGAAAACACAAGGAGAATAAGAAAACACTATGTCAGGACCGTCTGATCCACAGTCAGGCTAGACGATAACGCACTGAGCTCACTAGGGATGACAAGAGCTTAGAAGATCTAAGTTTTGTCGTAGTCAGCACACGTCCTATATGACCTTTTCCAACATATCCCGTTAAAATTACATCTAATTGATGTACACTGTACATCAGAATAATAATCACAGCAATAGAATGCCGTCTAACTTTACCTGAATTCGGCCCCGTAACCAGTAGTGTAGTTACCTGTGTAGTGTAGGCTGAGATCTGGTAAGAAACTCAATTAACACACTTCTTGTACTGGCTGTCTTTCTTGGATGCGATTCGAAAGTTTGCAAAGAATAAGGACTTGCGCTATAGAGTGATGCGACTTAGTAGGTACAGAAGAAATCAACTGAGGTGTCGGATATCCGTTCCATCTCCCTTATTAAAGCGCTGCCCCCGACCCTCAAGTTGCAGCTATCGCATGCATATACTGTGATCTTCTCCCTTAGCAGCCACCGCGGTTCAATACACAATACACTTACTCAATGCTAGAAAGTATGAATCTGAAAGTCTACGGTACATCCGTGTTACGTTCGAACAAGGCACTTTCTTCGCCCATTTGGCTTGCTCCAACTTAAAAAGAACTTAACAGAAAATCACACTTGGTGCTTGGAGATTAATCATATAGGCAAGCCAAAGAGCTGTAAAGTTTCGATCAGGTTGTGAAGAGTTTATGCTGAAAGTGCTGCTGCTCAAAATAAAGTCAATCTGAGGTTCAATCTAGAACATAAGACAGATACTTAATAGAAGATATATTGGGCCAATATCCTGCATATAATATCTTCTACAGTACATGTCGCTAGGGATATGGTCCATCCAGCGTTGATCTAATCAATCTGGTGTCTAAGCTCGATCTGTCCTAACTCGTACTAGCGCGTGCTTACATAGTCGCCTTTCTCTGAGCATTTCTGAGCAGGCTTCAGTGGTCTGCATCCTGGCCAAAAAAAACAGGGTTCGTCTACTGCGTCATCTGCATTCTGACAAGAAGAGTGCGCGGGATATAGTGCAAGGGGTTCCATGTTCGACAAGCCACCCGACAGCGAATCGTGGGCTGCAGTCATGATGATGTGCGACCACATACGTCACCGTTCCAATGAAATGGTAGAGGCTCTAGTCCGTCTACTATATGCCGTTGAAACCTATACAAGGCAAAGCAAGATAGACTAACGGCTGTTGCCACCTCTATCTGCACCCTGTTTCTTGCTGGCTCGCTGCCAGCTCATACAAATTGTCAAGACGGCGCCCCAGGTCCCTTCTCGTCGCGCGCTCGCTGGAATCGCGCTTGTTTCTGTGTTGTCGGCGGTGGAAAAGCAGCGGAAAAAGAAGAGAGACAGTGCAAACGGAAACGAGTTTACGACTGCCGAAGACATGTCGGGGGAGCTTCAGACTATACCTGCGCGCCATGGGGCTGCGACTTTTGTGCCACGAGGGAGGACGATCAAGGTTATTAATACGTATGGGAAGCAGGTAGTCAGTATGTGGGCTTTTACTCTGGGTCCACCGCCTGAAGAGGGGGAGGGGGAGGAGTTGAATGAGGAGGAAGTTAAGAAGGAGGCAGAGGAAATAAAGAGGGTGGTTGAAGAGGGCGAAAAGCAGGAGGTAGAGACAGCAAAAGAAGATAAGGAGGTCAAGAATGAGAGTGAAGAGGGTAAAGGTGAAGAGAAGAAGGAAAGTGGAGAGGGCGAAAGCGAAGAGAAGAAGGAGGAGAAGAAAGACGGCGGGAAGGAGACACAGTCGAGTGAGGACTCCACCAGTGGAAGTCAAGACACTCAAACTCCGTCCGAAAAAGCATCCGATACCCCCGAGAACGAGAAGACGACGGAGTCGACCGACTCACCATCCAAACAACCCGCTAAGCGCACTTGGGCGTCTTACCTCCCTTCGATTCCCTACCGCAACAAAGGCGCAGCGAACAAGCAAGAGGCGGAACAAAAGCCCAGTGCCGAGCAAGTGAAGAAACAGAACGAGGAGAATACTAAGAAATGGTCTTCATATCTACCCACAGGCAAGAGTTTCTCAAGCTACGTACCCAACGTCGAAGTTCCAGACTCCAAGTCTGTCATAAGCGCATTCAAGTCAAGTCACTACCGAGACCCAAACAAGAGTTATGCAGAGCAACTGTACGACTTTTCTAAGACACCTGTGGGCGCGGGAACAATGGCTGGTACGTTATCGGAATTTCACAATAGCACAAAAACATACTAACCCTCTATAGCTGCCACTGGCTCCGGCTACGCATCCTCTGTCTACGCCGCCTACTCAGCCTACACCTCGATGCATCCCTCCAACTCCTCCCAACCCCCCATGGAATACCTCTCCCTCCCGCACACCCGCACCGCCTCGCACAAACTCGTCCCAGAAGTCAACGACGAGCTGCTAACCAACCTCCGCAACCCCATCCTAACTCTCATCGAAGACACCTCCCCCGGCGCCCACGACACCCTAACCGCCGCCTGCGACGCCAACCAGTACGCCGCGCTCGGCATCGACAAGCCCGCCGAACACGGCAGCTGCGCCGAGAACCTCGTACTCGCCCTCAAAGAAATAAACGAGACGTCTGGCCTCAAAGGCGCAAAAGCAGTGGGTGCTGATATCACGGTTAACATTGCGCCTACGCCGCTTCACCTTTTTATGAATGCGCCGCTGCATGCTGAGGGCGATATTCATGATGATGGAGCGGGCGCAAAGGGTGTCACGCTTAGTGTTGAGGAGCCACAGGGAAAGAAGAGGTGCTATGTTAGGTTTAGGGCTGAGCGGGATGTCGTGGTGGTGTTTAGTGCTTGTCCGATGGATGTGGGCAAGCAGAATGGGGGGAGATGTATGGCAAGTAATTTCATGGTGGAGGAGGTTAAGGAAGGAGAGGATAAGGCGGGGACAGGGGTGCAGGACAAGAAAGAGGAAGGGAAGGGGGATGTAGGGAAAGGGGGAGAGAGGGAGAAGGCGAGTGAGGAGCCGAAGCCTAAGAAGAAGCCGAAGAAACTTGAGGTGAGGAGTCAGTCTACTGCTCCTGCGTCGTCGTAACGAGGTGTTTAATAGTGTAGTTTAATATTTCTTTTGAATTCTTTTTTCACATTCGTGTTTTGTTTTAGCGAAGGATTATTATAAGACAACACTAGATTCATGTCAATTACACATCGAGCCCAATGTAATCAGTTCACCCCAACATCAACTTTGAAAATCACTTTCTAAGCAACAAGAGAACAAGGGCAAAAGGTGCTGTCGAAGAGAGAGAAAAAAAAACGCTATTTTCACTTTCAAAAAGGAAGCGGTCTTCACTTGACGATGATATCGCACAAAAGACTCGAGCACACGCATGCCCATACGAAAAAGGAAAATCCATTACTCCAGCACGCAGCCGGTATACCTACCAACTACCTTGCTCCTAGCCACCTAGAACTCCCATCCCCCNCCCCCCACCCTACAAAACGCCAGTTAATCCACTTTTGTTTCTTCCTCGCCCTGTTCGTTCCCATCATTGCCCCCCACTACCCCAGTATCGCAAAATTCCAAATTAATCTTCTACTTATCCGGATTCATGTCTGGGCCCAACATTTCATTCCAAGTACAAGTCTCACACCCTGTAGTACCCCCTGTTCCTCTTGACTCTTGGATGGCCTGCTGCGCATCCTGGCTCGCGCGGGCACGCAGGTAGTTTGAGTATTCTGCCACGCGCTGGTTGCGGACTTGCCACTCGAGCATAATATCGAGGTCGGTGGGGTGGTGCTCGTTGTGGATGGCTGCGGAGTGTTCTTGGTGGTGTGTTGCGGAGTGGTGGAGTTGGGGGTGGTAGACGGGGGCGTGGTGAGCGGACGAGTAGTACGTATCCTGAGATATCTGCGGTTCAGTGCGTATGCTGGTGCCGCAAGATAGGGGCTCGACGTGGTTCTGCTCGGGGAGGAATAATTGGTTCGGATCCACGTCCATGTCACGCTTCGCCTCCGGACATTCACGTTCAACTTGCTCTGCTGATCCCTCTTTCCCACTCTTAACCATCGCCACCACCCTCTCACTCTCTGCCTTCTCCGCATCTAACAAGCCCCGATACCTTCCCTCCAAATACACCGCCACCACGGCCGGTGCCCAATCCCTTACAAACCACATCCCCTCAACCCCCGCGTATACATCCTCCCCGTACAATCCTGCCAATTGACACCTAGCATCTTGTACATCCAACTCATCGGCTTCCACTTTTCTCACAATCTCCTCCCGGATAGCCCTAACGCGAGCTTCCCGCACAGCATCGTCGAGCGCCTTCGCACACGCTGCATCGTTGAAGAAGGACCAGTACGCCGTTAGGCTTTCGTGTAAGGCGGCTAAGGTGGGACCGCCGGGGCAGGCGAGGTCAGAGGGTGTGTTGAAACCGCTTTGGAGGCGGATGGTGAGGAGGTGGTGCAGTTCTTGCATCAAAGAGAGAGTAGCGTAGTAGAGATCTTCGAAGTCGGCCAAGGGACGCTCAGCAGCTGGTTTGTCTGAGCGAAGGTGGATTTGAGATTGAGTGTGCCGGGGCGTCTGAAAGTCTGCCGGGAGGTGACTGGGAGGGAGTTGGCCGTTCTGGAGGCGGAGGTAGAGAGTGCTGAGACTCGGGGTGTAGGAGTCGTTGGAGGGCTTTCCGAAGAGAGTGCTCGTTTTGGTGATGTCGACGAGGTAGCTGCTTAGTTTTAGGATGTGCGAAGTGAAGTAGGAGGCTGGGTAGGCTGTTGTTGCTGCTTGCACTGCTTCAAGTGTGACTGCTGGTGGAAATGGTGGGAAAGGATTGGTATCAGACATGATTGAATATTTTTTGCTGAAGTTTGTAGCCTGCCAAAGTAGATATTCAAATCAACTGAGTAGCCAAGCTCAAGGTTTTGTGAAGATTTATAGGAGATAGCCTGATGGAGTTGAGAGTATTTCTAGTGTTGAGGGATCTGTATCCTCGAAAATACTGTGGCCGTAAAATTTTCATGATGAAGGAGGCTGGGAGTGAGGGTGAGGATAATTTCCCAAATTTTCCAAATTGAGTCGACTGAGCACTGTTGTGTTGTTGTTATTGTCACTATTGTGTTATGAACAATAGGTGTGAGGTGAGATAGCCGACTTAGATGAGAACACCGTGAACGGTGAACGAAGTTTAGTTATCATTGTTAACTGGGTGCGGCATGTATCACTACGTTTACATGTGATAAAATTAATGTAGTATGCAAGAGCGCTTCATTTTGCAATTTGCATCTCCTCAACAAAGACTAAATAGGGTTAGCTTTCAATATTCGCTTCAAGGCGGAGGGTGAAGGGACGAATTCATGCTCATTGTTTGTTCAACAGTGACTTCACGCCCACTCTATACTCACACATGCTGCGCCACCTGGCTGTCTGCCACGAAATGTCAAAACACTGCGTGTATGACGTATCGTTATTAGCACCTTTTCCGAGTCAAGGTGATGGTTTGCGAATCCTTTGTTGATATACTTTTCTGAATAAGCGTTCAAGTTAAAAGCCATGTGCATATCAGAATAGGGTCATGTATAGCCCTCTACTCTTACTCACACAAGACAACAATCATGCTGTGATGGAAACCACATGTGGCCTCCGATATGAAGATGCATGTAGAAAAGCTTTAGGTCTACGATTCAATCAGTGAAGTCTCATAGCACCTCCGATACGAAGCTTTGTATTACTCCAAGACCTCCTAGTTCCCACCCCACTCAACCAGTCTTCCTCACAACAGCAAGTTTCGACCTGACAGGAACGTTGTGCTCTACATCCTGCGTATCAGGAAACCCCTCCAACTCCACTCCCTTCCTGAAAATCAAGCAATGCGTACTTCCCCCGTAATGAAACATGCCAATCTGATCCCCCTTCTCAACACGCTCCCCTTCCTTGACCGTGATCTCGCACGTAGACACTTCCGTCATGCCAATCCCCATAAAGCACACAAGCCCCAGATCGGAATTATCCGCCTTGATGAAAATGATCGCTCGCGTAGCCGTCGCGGTTAGATATCCCTGTCCGGTTTTCTCACCCTCTTCACTAATACCTCCTCCCTTGTTGGAAGGATCACCAAGACCCTCAAATAGTGGTTCGGAAAAGTAGGTGCCTTCGACTAGATATGCTTTCTTAATCGTCCCGCTGACAGGCGCGTGCCACCGGTGGTAACTCAGCGCGGAAAGGAAGGCCTGGTATATTGTTCCGCCGATGAAGTACTCGTGCAGGGGATCCATGGCGAGCATGTCCATGAGCGAGTAGGGTTGGCCTTTTATCCAAAAGTGGTCGCGTTGTGCGACATTGCGGCTCACTTTGTATGGTTTTGACTCGCAGGCGTTTGCAATGACGGTGTTGTCATCGGGGCTGGCCACGGGGCGCTTGTCGGAGTGGAAGAGGCGGGTGAAGAAGTGATCCCAGGAGGTGTAGCCGTGGTGCTTCTTTTTTGGATCGCATTGGAAGAGCTCGTCGAATTTGTGGGAGGAGCGGCCAACGTTCGCGGTCAGCTCGAGATCGTGTGTGCCGTGCTCGCTGAACCAGCCGATCTTGTTGTTATCTAGCACGTATGCTGAATCTGGTGAGGCGAGGAAGTTGGCCCATGCATTTAGGACTTTTTTGATCATTTTGTTGACTGCTGGGTCGAGGAAGAAGGCGAAGCCGGATGGTGTGCCCTGCCGGTAGGAAACGGATGTGTTAGTTCAACTCGGATATCTAGATACATCAGTTGTACTCACCATAGGCCAGTCCAAAATAGCATTAAATGGCGTCCCAACCACACCGACCGAATACTCATGATCACTCCATTCAGGCGCAGTAGTAAGAATGTGATTGAAAAGCGCCAGCATGTGGTGGTAATCGCGGACTTGCTTGTGGCCGCCCGGATCACTCCTGTACGGCTTCTTGGTGGGTATCTCTTCGAACATGGAGTTGACGAGAATGTAGATACGCGTGTTTTTCTCGATAAAATCTTTGAATTCTTGGATGACTGGATGGAGATCTTTTGGGTCGTTTTCTACTCTTTCTATGATGTTTCCCAGCCATTTCTTGTGCACGCGGTGGTCGGATGGCAGCCATGAGCCGGTGCGATGCAACTGGTGCTCTTCGGGAGCATTTTTGGTATCTTCCTGGTGAGACATGGTAATGTGATTGTGAATGGTAGACTTCTTGGTAGGATGATGGTGTTCCCAGGACGCCGACTATAAGTGATTTGATAGGTTTACCCAGCATCGTCGTTCATACGTCATAAGTACGAAGCAATTTGATAATACCGTATAAAGAGTGTGTCTACCCAGGCAGTGGAGCTGCAGCCTAGTTTTTAAATATAGATAGGCTTGCACTTAGGAAACATTGGGGAGCATATGAGTGGGGAAAGGGTGGGATAGTGATCTGTTGCTTCAATCCTCATTATGTTGTGGCAAGGCTCCTCTCCTGCCTTCAATATGTCCACCTGGCTCTGGCGCGATGCCCATATCCATAGTGGCTTTCTTGTTACTTAGAATCTGATGCTCTCAATAACGTAATTTAGTCGTCTCTATACCATCGGTGACTTTGTGATCAAACCGAAATGCTTTCAATTTGCGGAGGCTCATCCGGGAACTGTAACAAGCACGTATTCTTTCACATGATTTACTAAAAGATTCTCTGATGTTTTTAAAGCTTCTCACCTACGGCCCCTTTCTCAAAAACGTCAATGCCGCAACAGCATACCCTTCCATGCCAACAGTAAGAGTAGGCTGAACGACTGGTGCAAAAAACGGGCTATGGTTTCCAGGGATATCCTCACTTATCCTGTCCTCTGCCTCCGCCTTGTCCCATACCTTGGGATCTATTCCTCCATACAGGAAAAAGCAGCTCGGTTTCCCAATCGCCGTAGCCAGAATACCAAAGTCCTCGCTTCCTTGGAGCCTCGCAATGTCATTCTGATAACTCGTTTTACCGGGCTTGAAGTGCTGGGAAAAGGACTGCTCCAGCGCATCGGTGACACTGTCTTCGTTGAATAACAGGGGGAATTGTGTTGTCGGTGTTAGTGTGGGCTCAGAGGGATTGTTGGAGGCAGCTGCTTCAGCAGCTATTATGCGTTTTACGCTTGCTAGAACGCGTTCGCGAGTTTGGGGCAGACCTGCGCGCACGTCGATTTTCAGGTTGGCTTCCGAGGGAATGATGTTTTCGGCGTCGCCGGCATGGAAGGCCGAGACAGTTACAACGGCGAAGTCCAGGGGGTCAACCTCGCGCGACACAATGGATTGGAGACGCATGATCGTGGATGCTGCTTGTACGATGGGATCAACACTGCGATGGGGGGTTGAGGCGTGGGCTTGACGACCTGGGATGCGAAGTCTACGACATTGTCAGTTTGGAAAAGGTGGTAGAAAATTATCAACGCACTGAAATCTGTCTGCTGAGCTGGCGATGAGACCACGTTTTGTGCCAATTACTCCGGCTCTTTCAGGCATGACGTGTGCTCCGACTACGACGTCTGGTTCTTTGACCTTTTCGTATAGTCCGTCATCACTGGACTTTATTAGCACTCTTGTGAAATTCTGTAGGAGTCCCTCTGCACTAACACCATATTCTGGGCTCCGCCTGCTCTCTCTTCGGCGGGTTGGAACACTAATATCAACTCACCACTCCACTCGTCCTTGCATCTAACCAAGCACTCTGCAGCCGCGAGCAACGAAGTAATGTGCATGTCATGCCCACAGGCATGCATGACCGGCTTCTCAACACCGTCAAGATCTTTCATGCGCGCTGTACTGGCGTACTGCAGTCCTGTCTTCTCTTCAACGGGGAGGGCATCGGTGTCAGCACGCAAAAGGATAGTTTTTCCTGGACCATTTGAGAAACTGGCAGCTATTCCATGGCCACCGATGGAAGAATGGATCGTGAACACTTTGAAGGTCTCGAGGTGTTTAATAATCGCATCTGCGGTATTCTTTTCTTGGAATGAAAGCTCTGGGTGAGTGTGAAACCATTTGTCTGGTACGCTATTAGTGATGCCTCTATTCGGCGGACGAGGCGGTGCCTACAGAGCTCTTCGTATGGACCCAGATCTGGCTGATGTGCTTTTACAGTCTCAGTTATTGAAGGCATGGTTATTTGTATGAAAGGATTGTTCGTAGGAATAGTTGTACCTATGTGTTCTACACGTTCGTGGACAAATATATATTATACGAAACGGTAGATAGTTCGGTAATGGACCTGCCTTAATTGCGTTAGTAAATGGTATGAAGGCGGAATTAACGAGCCTGGGGTGAGGGGTTCCCGTCGGGGAACGCTGGAAATGACGTAAGTAATGAGGGGACAGCTTTCTTATCAGATATCCACATCTCTAATTGAGATATGTATGTAGATAACGCCATATGTCCAGCAGTTGTGACAACAATCGCAGTAGTGTACAGCAGTAGATTAAAAGCATATTAAATGGCATGATGAATTTCTTTATCATTCGTTCGTACTAATACAACAGTGCACAAAACCTCAGTTCAAAAAGACCAATAACACCTGAAAAGAATCTGCATATCCAACGAGCAAAGACACCATATGATGGAAAAAGGATTAAGCAATAGGCACAATCTCCAGTTGTCTGGCTAGCTCATCTAGAAAGACTCAGGTATATGCGTAACCTGCCGCTGAGAGTATCCTGATTATGTACCTAATGCGGCAACTCAAGACATCGTCATATTCAGATGTCTTCTTCAATTCGCAGTCAAGCTCATGGACGCGTACTGAGCCGAACGTGGGTAATGTTAGAGATAAAAATGTCAACTCTCACCACCTTGTGACTTGTTCATATCGTCGTTGTCTTTTTTAAGCTGTTCTTCAAGACTTCCCATGAGATCTGGTTCGGAAGGCTGTGGAGAAGGAGCATCCGGTAGGGATTGTGTTGACTCGGGCGCAGGCTCTGGTGCTGGTTCCGACTTCGGCTGTGGCTCTTGTAGGGCCTCGGTTTTCGCTTCGGGCTCTTGTACTGGCTCCGGTACAGTTTCTGGTACAGACTTCGATACAGGCTCTGATATAGGCTCAGGGGCAAGCGCGGGTACAGGCTCTTGGGCAGATTCAGGTTCAGGTTCAGGTTGAGGTTCAGCCGTGACGGTCGGCGCCGGTGCGGCATCCGCTTCTAATGGAGGAGCTGGGACTTCATTCGGAATATTTTCGGGAACGGCAACCTCGGTGGTGGCCACGGGAGTTGACACATGATTGAGCGAGTTTTGACGGCTATGAGATATGGCAGATAACGGCATGTCCGGCGAGCTAGACTTGTCACGTCCTGGAGCTTCTTGGGTGACCTCGGGTGTCGAAGTTTTTACGGTTGCTGTCTCGGTCTCTCCGGCACTTTGTAATGGCTCAATGGCAGTCGGTAACGAGGGTGTTACTTCCATGGGAGTCCCCACGTCAGCCTCGACAAGAGGTACTACAGAAGTCTCTGCCGAAGGCTCTGTTGGGACAATTATAGAAGATTCCACGACAGGTTCACTTGGGGCCGCTTCCGGAGTATCTGAGATATCCATCGCAGATGTGCTGGGTGGTGCAGCTGATGGTCGCAGGGGAGTTGCGGGTGTTGAGGTGTGTTCCATGTCATGATCCTCATCTTCAGAGCCTTCTTCACCAGAGCCCTCCTCGTCTTGGCCTCCGGCATCAGCCATTGGCGTATCTCCACCATCTGAAGGCGCTACGGAACCCTCTTCTCGTTTTACACCGGGTACTTCGAGTGCATCGCCACCGGCAGTCGATGCCGGGGTCCCTTGCTCTGCCGCACCTTCGGCAAAGACAACCTTCTTCTTGCCTCTACCCGGACCGCCACGCTTGACCTTCTTGGGAGGTGGTGGTCGTCTCCTGGGAGGTGTTTGTTGCACAACGTCGTTGGCTACGACAATTCCTTCGGCATTCACAACACCGATACCCTCGACGATCGTTCCTGGCGCAGCAGTAGCTGGCGCAACTTCGATAGCGGCGTCTGTAGGTTGCACTTCACCCTCTACCGACTGCCCTTCTGGAACAAGGACCTTGTAGACTGCTATATTGCCTTCTGCATCGAGTTTCTTAACCTTTGTCTCACGTAGCACAGGCTGTGCAATTTGGGTGCTGACATATGGCGATGGGAGACCCTTCCTTCTCTTGGCAAGGTATTCTGGCTCTGGACCTTCTAAATGGCGTGCTACCTTGACGTATTTCTTGACGGTGAATCCGGTACGAATCTCTTTAGTCTCTTCTTCCTCATCTTTCATCTCATTGTCTTCTTCTGGGGGCACTGGGGGTTTGTAAAGCTTTCCAGACCGAGCCGCTCGAAGGAGCTGCTGAGAATGTTCCGGAAGCATGTGGGAATCCCGAGGCATTGGTAATTCAGGCCAAGCATCTTTGTCCAAAGGCTTGTTTTCCGCAGAATGAGGTTCAATAGTAATTTCAGCTTCTCGATATTGGGTGATGGGCAATCCTTCCAGCACATTATGCTCTATCTGCCCACGCCCCGACCTGTTGGAGCGGTCTCTGTTCCGGAACTAGTCACGTGATGTTAGCCTTGCGACCCGGTGAAATCATCATATCTGTTGCATTGCATAGTGGAAAGGAGTGTGTCTGGTATTATGAGTGGGTGCGTCAATCATATGCCAGTACAGTAGACAACCCTGCATTTGGAACCCATTCGTCATCGTCTGTTGGCGACTGCCCAAGATAAAGCGCGGATCACCGTTTTTGGCCCATGCCTCGTAATAAATGGTGTTGGTCTAGAAATGTAGGCATGATGATGCTGTATGCGATGCGCGCCGCAACAAGAGCGCCTTGCGCACGCGTTCAAATGCGGCAAGGATACGGACTCGCGAAAGCAGAGGGCAGGTGCATCTCTATCAATAATACAAAGAAATGACGTACCGGAGCCATAATGATATGCGACTGCCTCGAGAAACAGGCGGTGAAGGTTGGATTGATGTTGGCGCAATGCGGCGGGAAGTCGCGATGCGTGAAGGGGAGGCGCGTCGGTTTGCGACCTGGAAAGTGCAACCGTGCGCCGCTATACCAAACTTGGTTGGCCTCCAACCTTCCGACCCCAGGCTGCTGGGTAGAGTAGTGAAGTGTATCATACATCAATTCCTGTTAGTATAAGAGACATAGCTTGTACAATGAGAAATACGGGAAAGAACCTCATGGACCTATGCATTCGTTTCTCCAGAAGGTATTCTCACCAAATCCACGTGGAGCCTGTTCCTGCAGTAGTACAGCAAGTGTATCTAGCTGCGATAGGTTGGCACGTAAGGCCATTACCCAGGGCGGAAGAGAGTTTACGAACGCGATCTGTCATGTTGGGAGTATTGGTGCTAAAATATGCAGGTTGGTTTGGTGTCATTCCATCACTCTGCTTGGGGGACTCGAATAGCAAGCCCCATATAATACAGTAATACATTCGTCTTTGCAAGATCGTTTCCAATCGAGCGTGGTGCCACACAATCGCCTTTCTTTTCGTGCAATATGGGCAATGTTGTTACAAGATCGTCTCTTTTCATCGTCAACATCCCGTTTCTTTCGTACTATGCTTAATCCCATCCTTGGTCTTTTACTCTGACGATATCGCTGCGATCTCCCTTTTGCTTGCCTTCCTTGCCACCCTCAACGACTAGGCGATCAATCTGGTAGAATTGGCTTATGACTGTTTGCCTCTGTTGATTTATGTCAGCGTGAGTTCCGCCTTGTATTACCCTCTGTTCTGATTATCGTCTACGCACTAAAGCCCATCGCTTCCAATGCCACTTATCGCCTTGCTTACTACCTTGTGTGTCGTCTCTTCTACACAGGAGCACTTTCATGTCTGCCCGCTCCACACATCATGCTGAACCTCGATATTGTGTACTCACCTTCAACATTTGTAGCTCGCTCAGGCCCTTTTGTACCATTTCTTGTATGACCCGCTCATCTTTCACATCTTTGTTATCCCGAAAGGCATCGCGCGTTCTCCGTTTGGCGTATTCACGGAAGTTATAGGCAGCGAACTGGTTGCTCTGGCGTAACAACGACCGATACTATTCAGGTAGCAAGTCAGCAAGTAATCTTCACACCGCAAAGCAGTGATTTGTCGCACTCGAGCGATGAATCGTATCAACGTTCCAAGGATCACAGTAAAAGAAACAGAAACAAGGCAGCAATGCCACAGGGTGATTCCGGTAACGCGGGGATGCTTGAAGCACTACAGTGGCGCGAATACGTACCAGAGAGCGCACTTGGTAGGCAACATCGCCTTTGGTTGCTTGCGCTAATGACATTGTTTCTTGTGTGTGGGGGGAGGCAGTACTCAGATGTCGAGCGTTGCGCCTACGATAAAAGTCGCTGGTTAGGTCATAGGTTTTGACACAGGTCGGAGGAAAGCTTCGAAAGTCCGAGCCGCATTGCAGCTCGGCCACAGCCGGCTCGCGCCTGTACTAGAGCAATTTCACTACGCAACTGTCTATCAGAAAATCAATATTCTTGGTGACTGAACTTGAGTTCATACGTATTCATTAGAGATTTGCAGCTACAATATCGATGACCAGGCCATGAGTCCAGTCTTGTTTTACACAAAAGTCCACTTTAGTCTCTCTTCAAACCCAATCAGGCCGGGTCCATCTGCCCGTACCTTCCCAAACGCCACTCAATGCAAACGAATCGATTTCTAGAATGATAGTGGTATCCGGCAAAGGAAAAGAAAGACCTACAAATGCATGCGCTCTACTGGCGGTGCTTTTCCTGTATCCTTCGAAGCTGCTCCTGGACGTTCATGCTCTGCATCTGCGATAAGCGGGCAGCATCCTTTGCAGGATCGGGCTGTCCATCATATGACATTGCAGCCTTTTTCCTCCGAGCCTCTTCTTCTGCGGATATCGATTGGCCGGTGGCACCGTCATATATGTCTTCACGCTGACTGGCGAAACGCTTGAGATTATTTGCAACATCGGCGGTGTTGATCGTTGTGGAGTATCGAGCTTCGGCTTTGTCCCGCTGTTCTTTCCAGCGCGGATCGAGCAATTCAACTGCGAAAGAGCATTAGCATACGACGTTCCTGAGCATGTAAAAGGTTCAGAAATCTGCTTACTTCGAATGTGTTCATCCATTTCGTTGGAAGGAATTTGCTGCTTGCAGTTAGGGCACACGGCCATTGGTACGTTTGCCTTCTTTGTGGCAACGCGGGGGACGTAGTCTGTGACGATGCGACCAGGCGCTCCTCTGGCAGCAGCCTGTGCACGTGCGCGCTGCTCGCTTTCTGCCTGGCGTTCCTTGGCCAACCGTGCCTGCTCCTCTTCGCGCGATATCTGCGCTGGTGTTCGGTAATCGGGCATCGGAGGGGGCGCATATGGCGATGCGCCGTACGGCGAATGCACGGGTGGTGCAGTTGGTGCGTAATTTGGTTGCATTGGAGGCGGTGGTACCTGCTGCTGGGTGACATTGTAGTAGGTGAGATCGTCGGGCATAGCCTCCTCCAGACGACGTGTAGATAATGAAACGGCGGCCTTTTGTTCAAGAGACTGGGACTGTAGATCATTCAGCTGAGCGGGAGGGGGAAGATCCGCAGCATCATCAGCCTCATCAAAGATGACTGTCGCAATGACGCTGAAGTCATGCCAGTCAATGGTCGCATACTCCTGTTTCTCGGCTTCTACCTTCTTCTCCTCTTTCTCCTTTTGCGCATTCACATATTTGACATATTCAGCGCGACCCTTTGCGCGGTCCAATACGTGAAACCGGTTTTTGATGTTGTGCTGTAGCTCCTGGATACGTGCCTCGACCGTCGCCTCTTCTTCAAGCAGGATCTTGTATTGTTCGACGAGCGATCGGAAAAACTGGAAATAGCTGTGATTTGGTCTGAGAAAGTCAAACTGATAGTTGCCCAACTCACGGTTGCGCAAATCCTTTAGCCAATTCTCACCCACACGCGCCGTGTACAGAGCAGTAAGTTTTAGCACTTCCAGATCTTTGGCGTTGATGTTAGGCATGCGGGCCGAAAAACGGAACTTGGGCGGTTCGGGGGGGCCCTTGGGCTTGTTATTCACGGCTTGCTTGGAGTTCTTGTCCGAGGAGCGCCCATGGCCCTCCCTCAGCTGCTGCAAATACCACAAGAAATAGGCGTTGTACGGATCGTCTTCCAAGACGAAGCCAAAATTGGTCTTTGTGGAGGGGTCGGCGGTAAGACGCTGCTTCATTCCTACAAGGTGTTGTTCACCTCGACGGGAAATGAAATCAGCTGTCTTTGCTACGGCTTCACGTACGCCGGGCGGGGGGATGACCATGTTCGAGGGGGGCTTCACGTCGAGCTCGACGACGCCGGCTGGAGCGGCATCACCATTGGGGTTGGCCATGGCGGTACGTGTTGGTAGGGAACTTGGTTGCGAGCGACGTTGATAAGTTGCAAGAGAGATCGTGGTAGAATAATGGCGAATCGCGTGGTACGTAGGTCGGTGCCAGCAAAAGAACAAATCGCGATTACTCACGTGCCACTATTTGCACGCGACGCGTATGGATACTGCGGGGGGGTCGAGTAGCAGCGGTGCAGGTTCGCGATGCGGCAGCGTCGCAAAGTTCCAGGATGGCATGGTAGGCTCCTGGCCGGATCATCTGGTTGTTCCAATCCGGGTCTTAGCCTCACTCTAGCCACACTCCAGCCACACCGACACTGGCAAGGCTGAGGCAGTCGGTGAAATGCTAGACGCGTCTCGGCTCATCGACGGCTGTCAAAACTCTCGGTACAGGACCAAGTCGAGTGTCTATTTTAGGACGACTTGTTCTCTCGAATCGACTAGATGACATGGTGAATACAAGTCGACCAAGTACCCTGATCTATATTCAGCTCTTCGTTTCCCAGTTCGGCAAGGCCGCGTAGTAAGGAACAGCTTGCAACAAGGGTCAATTGGTACGCAGCACTACTCCTCGCGGGAGCCGTCTTTCCCCTGGCTCGTATCGCCGCAACTACAATTGCGCCCCCACCCTTCACCCTTCACCTCTGACATTGATGGAACCTCCTTCTCACTTTCATTAATTCTTCCTTTTTCGACTAAGAGGCCCGAGTGCCCATTGCCCACGCTACAGCTGAAGCGCTGCAAGGTTCCCCCGACCCTCATCACCACCTCCCACCTTAGTCGGGCCACGCAACACCTACTCAGTACACGGCCGCCATGGCGAGCCTTTCGGCATCCAATGCCTACCTGGGCGAGAAGCCCTCATCGCGCCGTTCTGGTAGATCAAAGTCCCGATCACGATCGCGGAACGGCAGGAAGCAACAATCCCAGCAGAACGTTCGAAGTTACGCCTCCGAGGGTGTGAAGGACAATGACATCTTCAGCCTCCCGGGCTCTGACTGGTCGTTGCTAGCTGTACTGATGGCCGTTGCAACTGCTGTAAGGCTCTTCAGGATCCAGCAGCCAACCAGCGTTGTCTTTGACGAGGTCCAGTAAGTCATTCTTGTTGATATGGCTTTCATGAGTGCGGACTGACAGGGTCATTGTAGTTTCGGTGGGTTCGCCTCGAAATACATCAAGGGCAGGTTCTTCATGGATGTCCACCCGCCGCTTGCGAAGCTCCTTATTACACTGGCTGGATGGCTGGGTGGATTTGATGGAAACTTTGACTTCAAGGACATTGGCAAGGACTATCTCGAGCCAAATGTTCCCTATGTTACTATGCGCCTGTTGCCCGCCATCTGCGGTGTCTTGACCATTCCAACCATGTTCCTGACCCTAAAGGCTGCTGGATGCCGCACTACCACAGCAGCGTTGGGTGCAGGTCTCGTCATTTTCGGTAAGACACCAGTTGTAGCCGCTGTTGTGCCTGATGCTGACCTTTCCAAGATAACGCTCTCGTCACCCAGTCTCGCCTCATCTTGCTCGACTCACCGCTCATCATCTTCACTGCCCTTACCGCACTTTCGTGGACCTGCTTCATGAATCAACACGAACAGGGGCCCGCCAAGGCCTTCAAGCCATTGTGGTGGTTCTGGCTGGCTGCTACTGGTATTGGGCTTGGTGCAACTGTCAGTGTTAAGTGGGTTGGCCTGTTCACCATCGCTTGGGTCGGCAGTTTGACACTTGTCCAACTATGGGTTCTGCTCGGAGACCACAAGAACGTAACACCGAGGCTGTGGTTCAAGCACTTCTTCGCACGTCTGTTTTGCTTGGTTGTCATTCCCGTCTCCTTCTACATGGCCATGTTTGGAATCCACTTCCTCTGCCTTGTCAATCCTGGTGAGGGTGATGGATTCATGTCTTCTGAGTTCCAGGCAACTTTGAACTCCAAGGGCATGCAAGACGTACCGGCAGATGTTGCGTATGGAAGCCGCGTCTCCCTGCGCCATTGGAACACGCAGGGCGGATATCTTCATTCTCACAGCCACATGTACCCTACCGGAAGCAAGCAACAGCAAATCACTCTGTATCCTCACAAGGACGAGAACAACATTTGGATCTTGGAAAATCAGACGCTGCCAATTATGCCGGAAGACTACACTGGTCCTAACTTGACTAGCCCGAAAGCCTGGGACGGCATAGGCCCCTTTCACATTGAAAACGGCGCCATCATTCGTCTCTACCATATCACTACCGACCGACGTCTCCACTCTCACGATGTTCGCCCGCCTGTTACCGAAGCAGACTGGCAGAATGAAGTCTCTGCGTATGGCTATCAGGGTTTTGAGGGCGACGCGAACGACCTCTTCCGCGTTGAGATTCTTCCGAGCAAGTCGGATGGAGCTGAGGCTAAGAAGCGCCTTCGTACGATCCAGTCCAAGTTTAGGCTGATCCATGTCATGACTGGTTGCGCACTATTCTCTCACAAGGTGAAACTTCCCGAGTGGGGCTTCGAGCAACAAGAGGTTACGTGTGCCAAGCAAGGTACCCTGCCCAACAGCATATGGTACATTGAGGGCAACGTGCATCCACTGATGGTGGATGGGGAAGTGGAGAAGGTCAACTACCGCAACCCTGGCTTTTTTGGGAAGTTCTGGGAGTTGCAAAAGGTCATGTGGAGGACGAACGCCGGTCTGACGGAGTCACACGCCTGGGATTCTCGTCCTCCCTCATGGCCCATCCTCCGCCGAGGCATCAACTTCTGGGGGAAGCATCACCGCCAAATCTACCTTATTGGAAATCCTGTTATCTGGTGGAGCTCCACGGCGCTGATTGCTCTCTACGTTGCTATCAAGGGTATTGCCATTCTCCGATGGCAGCGTGGCTACCGCGACTACAATAACGTCGTGTTCAAGCGTTTCGACTATGAAGTGGGCATGAGCATCCTAGGATGGGCATTCCATTACTTCCCTTTCTACCTAATGGCACGCCAATTGTTCTTGCACCACTACCTGCCGGCTTTGTACTTTGCCATTCTTGCCCTTTGTCAGATCTTTGATTTTGTAAGCTACAGGTTCAGCGTATTTGGACTCAGGGAATATCCGGTTATTGGCCAAGCAGCAGCTGTCGGTTTCCTGGCGGTTGCCATTATGGTTTTTTCAATTTTCTCACCGCTTGCATACGGCAACGCATGGACTAAGGATGCATGCAACAGTGTGAAGCTTTTCAACAGCTGGGACTGGGAGTGCAACAACTTCCTCGCTTCGGTAAGCTAACTGGACATGGGATGATGAGTTGAATCTGACAGTTTACAGTACGAAGCATACAGCCAGAGTGAACCTCTAGCATCAGCATCTGTGCCGTCATCAGCGCCGCCTGCACCCCCCGTTGTCAACGTCCAGCCCGAACAGCCAAAACAGCAGCCGGAGCTGGTCAAGCAGGAAGGCGTTGTCGATGAAGCGGCTGTTTCCGCCCCACCCCAGGACGCACCTCAAGACATGCCTATTATTGCAAAGGAAGAGCGTGTCGAGTATCGCGACGAAAAGGGCCGCGTCCTGAAGGATGCAGAGGTGGAAGCGCTCAAGGGCAAGGTTAGCTTCAAGACGCGCTATGAGACGCGGACGCGCCTTATTGATGACGAAGGCAACGAGGTTTTCGATGAGCTAGTTGAGTCGCACGATGAGGCCGAGGAGCATGGTGTTGCGCCTCCTCACCCTGATGTCGAGGGCCAAAATCCAGAAACGCGGGAGCAAGGGGCGGCAGTTGAGGCTAGCGAGGTGCCGCCGACTGTGGAAGTGGCTGAGGACCAAGAGAAGAGCATTGTGGAGCGTCAAGAGGAGGCTCAGCCTGCCAGTGAGGCCAAGACGGCGACGCAAGATGCAGAGTAGGAGATTCGATTCTTGTTGGCACGGCGCCTGTATGGCAGGCAATCAGTTGTACCTCCCTCTCTCTTTTTTTTCTTTTACTATAGGGAGGGACATGTATTAGCAGCGTGTGGGGCGGGCGGCGCTAGGTTTTGTATGGCACACGGGGGTGTCAGTATAAGGGCAGAGCGGAGTAGGTTTCGTCTGTATGATTATCCATAATGTGTTTTTTGGACCGGTGCATGCTGGCGGGGAGAAGGGGTGCTGTGATGATGCATGGTACAAGCGTGGCGCAGGCAAGTAAGTACTGCGTAGACGAGGGGGCAGCGTGTCCACATGACACTGGACAAGCGTGCAAGATGAGGGTGGTTATTAAGTTTGCGGACCCGGACGGCGGCGCCCAAGCAAGCAGCCATGCATCGGAAGGAGCAGCCGGAGCATTTTCTGTCAGTCTCATGGCCAAGTTGGCGCCACATACGTATCCACAGCAGCGTTGGGCAACGATGCAGGGTCCGATTGCGCCTCTCTCTGGCAGACACGGGATACGCCACCCGCACCGCTCCAGCTCTCGTCGACGCCACACGTCCCGCGCCAATCAGGCCCGGGCCAAGCAGTGCGTGGATGAGGCTTGTGTCGCCCGCCCGCGTTGGAACCACACCATAGGCCTCGTCCATGGGCCAGAACAGTCGGCCTCAGCGCAACGGGTCGAGCGGAGGGAGAAGGGCGGCGGGGGCATCGGAAGGGCAGCAGGCGATCTCCAATCTAGATCCTAGTCGATCGCTGCTGCGCACACGGTGCAAAACAAGGAAAAAGGCCGTTCACGACAGTTTTGTTCTTGCGTCCCGCTCCTTGCCATGCCTTGTCCACTCCACTCCCCTGCATTCCGTACCTCGCTCTTTCCACTCCCTTGGTGGCGACGGCGGAGTCGGTCGGGGAGCATGGGAGTAGCACCGCCGCCACCGCCCGCCATGGAACACGCAATGCTCAGGACCACCTCTCACGCGCCCGGGCCGTGCAATCGGCGCGAAAGAAGAGATTGCCAAAAGAGACTGGAGGGAGAAGAAAAGAAAACTCTGGAACGTTCCACCCAATGGCCATGCGCGGATGCGATTGACCTGCATCGCTGGGTGGCGACAAAAAAACATGCGAGCAGTGGTCGCAAGAGCTGAGGATCCTCGCGAGAATGGCCACACGGAGAGTCGCACCACCAAGACGAGGGCACAACAGGTGAGCTTAGAAATGCACCATCCTCCAGCCTCTGCTCTCTCCTTCTCTCTGCTTCCTCCACCATCGCCTTGCTCTCTTTTTTTTCTCTCTCAACTCCCAGCCCTCCGCGGAGACGAGCTCAAAGCCACACGCAGGAAACTGCGCCAGACTATAAATTAAACAATGCGGTCTAGCCGCGCATCGACGATTTCCAAAACCCCTCCCCGGTTTGTGCAAAATCCCATGTGCACAGCATCGTGAATTTTGCAATTGCCCAACCGACACACCGGCACCCTCGCTTTTGCTGCCCTCCAGCAGCTGCACTCGAGCAGGGGCTTCTCTTGCACATATCACGCTTCTTATGCTACTCCCAACCTTGTCTTGATCCTCATCTTTTTTGTTATTATTTTGCTTTGCTGCACTCCCGTTTTACTTTACACCCATCCTCGACCTTGTCATCCCACTGCCCACCCCCACCCTACCGCTATCTGTCAGCAGCAGCCATGGCGCCCAACGCACGCCAGACGTCCAGCACAGCGTCCGAGACCAGCAGCCACTACTGTCCGCACTGCATCGACGCCAAAGACGGTCCAACACCCACGCCCCATACCCACAACATTGGCGACTCGTATATCCAGCAAAGCATCGAGATACCGCCCCCGCTGTCCACCAGGGCGCCCACCAGAATGACAAACTCGCCATCCGGCCCCCACATCATCTACATTGTTACCGACACTTGCTACCCGACAGCCCAGAGTCTCGAGGCCAACATTGGCAGCACGCACATCATCTCTGTGCACTCGACCAAGTCGGCAGCCAACAGCCGCGCCAAGAAGATCATCTACGACAACGACAGTGGATGCACCGTCGACATTGACAAGATCATTGAAGAAGTCAAACAGGGCATGTACATCGGCATCGGTATTGGTGCAAAGGACGAAAAGGAAGGGTGCTGCTTTGCAAGAAAATGTGAAGTCGAGGGCAAAATCGTTGACGAGGACAGCGATAGCGAAGAAACGAGCGGAGAGAGTGGAGACAGCGAACTGATAGATGCCACGGGCGAAGGCGAGGGCGAGGCTGATGTCGATGTAGACATGGGCTGATGATGATGCTACAGAAGAAACATTGGAGCATCCAAGAGCAGTCTTGCTGGGCACCTGGAGATGTCAAGAGGGTGGAAGACGGCGCATGTTGGAAAGATGGTGGGAGCTAAAGGCTAGAGATTGGAGTCGTGCAGACCGCCAAGACCATTACCACGTACCAGGAACCAGGAACCAGGTCGCCTGCGGGAAAGAGAAAAAAAAGAAAAACAATCTGCACAAGGTGGTGGCTGCCGGTAGATCATGCGGCCGACGGTTCCTCCCGGAAATTGCTGCTCGCACTCGCAGCCGAGACCGGCAGAACTACGACTGCGCCAACAGTGGTCGAGCTACAGCCGGACTGTACGCTGCAATGCCACTAGGTATCACGGTCTGTCGCCGACCAAGCAAACGATATTACACAATCATCCATTCGACGCAAGCCCTCAAGCGCCCGCTTCAGGTCATCTGTTTGTTTGATACCCGCTTACAGCTCCCGTACGAGACTGAACCTTGATGAGCTCTACTCGACGGTCTAAAGGAACATCAGTGGTAAGATGATGGTATATTGGGGAAGACTGGGCAGGACGCGTAGTAGGCGTCGACGGTAACAACTTGTGTGGATGAACGTGATGTTAATGTACAGTAGTTTTGCTACTTCACAAGGTACTAGCAGGAAAACTCTCTGCTCTCTAGTATGACACACGCAAAAGAAAACAAAGAGTCCTTCATGGGTTTGTAAGCCAACAACGAAACGAATCTGACTGTCTCCACCTCCTTTTCACTTTTGAACAGTATCCTGACAATTGCACACTTAGGCTCGACATGATACCCAGGTGTCAATGGATAGTCTCCACGATTGCGCATCAAGCTTTTTGCGCTCTGCGAGTCATCGCACGTCTGAACACTGCTTACCAAGCGCCTTCGGTATCATCTCCTTTGTTGCTGAGCTTGCTTTGAGTAAAACTAGAACGTGTGGTTACACTTTATATATATATGTGCTGCTATCTTCTTGTAAGAGACCAGTTGTCTAATACGAAGATCACCTAAACTACCATTAGCGGGAGCTACTTCCCCTCATAGTGGTAATAACTCTGAGGCTTGATTTGCCCATGTCAATCTGCCCATGCTGACCGTGTGTCCAAGAGACATTGACGGGTTTTCTATTGATTGTTTATCATTGACACAGCTATTTGAAAAGGTTATGGTGTCCGAACAAACCGCTCAAGGCAAAACACCGAAACACCCCCAAGTCGGAGAGTCCTGTGCGAAGGGGCAACGAAGTTCAGTAGAACGGTTATGACTCGGTCGCAGAAAGCCGTTAATTCAACGTAAGTGAAACTAGGAGATGCCTGCTGTTCATTCCTGCAAGGGTAACCTTAATTACAGCTCTGCCCCTGGCCATGTATATGGTTCAGTCGTGGACGATCCTATGCACGAGCTACATGTAGCATCGCCTGCACATGTGAAAGGAAGATGCTACTCATTCTCGGCAGACGCAATCATGACGAAAGCCGATAGCCCATGTTGTTTGGGCATTGCAGCTTTGGGCGTTCCTGCAGGTGAGTAAAGCGCCAAGTCAAGGATGTGATCGTATGTAAGTTGCTCAGGGTCCAACAAGCTTGCACCCCCACCCGATTACATCCCATCCAGTCGTTTCCCTCACCATCCTAGGACGTGGGGAACATACGTCATCGGGCATCGCAAACAGGCATCGCAAAACCAACGACATGCCACGACCCCCGCTGCTCATCATGTCGAAGACTCCACCTGCAACTCGCCCAAAATGTCCGCTGGATACTACCCAAAGCGCGAAAAGGTTGGCCTTGAAGATCTCTTCAGAGGGCTAGTCACAGCAAGCCACATCCTCGACCACCATGGCCTTGTCGATGCATACGGGCACGTTTCCGTGCGCTCTCCGGATAACCCGGCGACATTCTGGATGCCATGCAATATGCCACCGGCGCTGATTAGCACGCCAGAAGATCTGGTCGAGTACCATGTTGACAGCGCTGAAGCGGTCGAGAAAGATGCAAAACCCGGGTATCTGGAGCGATTCATTCATAGTGAGATTTACAAGCGATTCCCAGCCATCAACAGTGTAGTCCATAGCCACGCGGGCGATGTGCTTCCTTATTGCACCAGCGGGGTACCATTGAAGAATACGATTCACATGGCTGGCTTCTTGGGTAAACTTTGCTCCTTCATCGAGAGAAAGACTTATGGACTGTCTGAATGCTGATTCTGGTAATAAACAGGATCAAAGGTCCCTGTGTGGGACGCCTCGAGTAGCTATCCGGCAGGCTCAAAACACAGTCTGCTTGTGAACAACGCTACACTGGGTGCTTCTCTTGCTGCGACTTTCAAGCCTGCTACTTCAACTGGCTTCATCTATTCCAAAGTCCGCTCGGCGCTACCATCGCAGCTAGGCGGTGCGTCTTCGGAGCCTCAACTGGAACCGGATCATGCGGTTGTCCTTATGCAAGGTCATGGATTTGTGACTGTCGCGCATGGTATCGAGGAGGCGGTATACCAGGCCATATACACCAGGGAGGCTGCAAAGACACAAACAGCAGCCATGATGATTTTGAATGCGCACACTGGATACGCGCTCGAGGGCAAGGTTGACGTTGACGCTGGCGGGAAAATCAAGTCTGGCCATGCAAAGGCTGAAGGCGGCAACTTGAAATACTTGAGTGACAGAGAGTGTCACGACGCCTGGGAAGCCATGTCCGGTACAATTGCAAGACCATGGGCGCTGTGGTCTCGACAGGTGTCGCTCAGTCCGTTATACAAGAACGATTGTCCCGCAGGCGAGGACTGAGCGGTAACAGGGCGGTTTTGCAAGCGATGCGCTATTAATTTTCTACCACGTTTCTTACCCTGCTAATAATAAAGTATTCGTTGTTTCACGAGGACAATGACATGACATTGTCTATTCCGAATTCCCTCACAATCTTACCCTGAAACGGACTAACTAGCGGCAGACAGAAAGCCATCGCGGAGAAATGTCATCCTTCACACACTGCTGAAATAAAAGGCCGCGGCTAAAGAACCACCGTCAACCCCAAAGCAATCAAAATCTCTCCAACCCTCACTGCTTATTTCGTTCGCTCCCTTGTTCGCAGGCAGATCTTCCACCACTAATATCAAGATAACAATGCAATCCGGCCATTCATTTAAACCAAACCAGTGGCCCCGAGGCTCTTGGTCTGTATCCATTTTTGACTGAAAAGAAAAGCTTAACCGCAGCAAGGCGAAAGCTTCGCCATTGCTTATTGCGCATCATGAACGATGTGATATATTGTTTTATCTGGGGGGGAGGGCAGTGAGCATCGCAAAATTCCAGCTACATGGCTCGAAGCAAAAAGAAAAAAAGTAAACCACATTGCATCCCATCTCAATTCCACGTCCTGCAATGAACCTCTTTCCCTTCCCCTATCTTCTAGCACTAGGCGCGCGCCCCCCCCCTAAACTGAAACGTGCGGAAGCGCCAGTCCAACATGTTTAGTAGCGTGTCGTTGACGGGGCAAAAAAAATATTATTTGGTGACATTTCGGACGTGCATGGTCAGTAAGAGAGAGAGAGATTCCAAGTCGTTCATCTCGGTTGTTGGCACGTTCCACCCCTGCTCGTAAGCACCGAAAGTAGGGATATCCCCCCCCCCTCCCCCCCTTCCCCTCATGTCATGATAAGTATATACTTGCTGAAATAGGAAATTGGGGAGAGATTGATGCTGTACTATGTAGGGCTGGGCCTGGGGTGGACGATTTGTTTCACGCACGTGCGGGGGCCCAAGGGAAATAATGGCATTTGTATATGGGGGGAGGGAAGGGTTGCCCTGCAGGTGTTTTGTCCGATTACATTCATACATACAGCCTTGTTCCTGTTTCGATTGGGGAATCTGTAAAGTACAGATTGACAGGTGTCTTGTATCCCAGACTCCATTCTTTTTTTTTTACTCAAACATTCTTGTCTATATTCGATTCTACACTTTTTCTCTTCTCCTCTTCTTCTTCTTCTTTCCCACCCTCCTCATTCCTGCCTGCATTCTTCTTTTTCCCCCTTCTCCCTGGGCGTCACTAGAAACTCCCCAGGCCACTTTACCAACAATGTACCTCCGCACCTCCTCCTCCTCCTCCCTCCTCGCCCTCTTCACTGCGGCCATAACCCTCCCTTCCACCACCCTCGCCTCCTTCGGCGTCACAAAAGCCAAAGACAGCATCACCGTCGACACGGGCTCCACCACCGACCCTTTTCTCTTCACCGTCAACACGCTAAACTGCGACATCACATCCCTCAAGTACGCCGGCGAAGAATTCCAATGGCCCGTCAAAGGCTCCCAAATTGAAATGGGCCTCGGCTCCGCCACCGTCACATACGATACCATTGGCACCCAGTACATCAAAGTCACGTGCACCACGCCCACGCTGACGCAGTACATGGTGATCAAGGCCGGCGACACCACCATCTACATGGCGACGGATATTACGGCCGAGCCCGATGTTGGCGAGTTGCGGTTTATAGCGAGGTTGGATAGTATCAAGTTGCCGCTGAGCTATCCGTTTGGGATTGTGTCGACGACGGCGAATTCGACGGCGACGGTTGAGGGGTCTGATGTTTTTGTCGTGGATGGCCAGACGAGGAGTAAGTTTTACTCGAGTGATCGGTTTATTGATGATGCTGTGGTAAGTTTTTTTTTTTTTGATTGTTTGTTCATTGAGAAACAGAAAAGAGAGAGAGAGAGAGAGAGAGAGAGAGAAAAACACAAGTTTTCTGGGTAGTTTTGGGCTGACGAAAAGGTGAATTTTTTTAGCACTGTGTATATCGGGATACAAATGCGATTCACGCTTGTTTGTTGATGGATTCGTATTCGTACGAAACGTCTGCGGGTGGACCGTTCCATCGCGATATCAACACGAACAACGGCGGGCCTTCGAATTCGCTTACTTTTTACATGAATAGCAATCATGTTCAGTTGGAAAAGTATCGTATGGGTATGAAGGGTCCGTATGCCCTTTCCTTCAGCCGGTCCAGCATCCCCAAAGGTGGGTCAAGCATGGACACGACATTCTTCAAGGACCTCTCGATTCCAAACTACGTGGCGCCCTCAGGCCGCGGCACAGTAACAGGCAAAGCAACAGGTGTGGCTTCAACCTCGCAAGCAGTCGTCCACTGGTACAACGATGCAGCACAATACTGGGCCTACGCTTCCTCGTCGTCGGGAACTTTTACTTCGCCCGCCATGAAACCCGGAAACTACACCCAAGTGCTGTACCAAGGCGAATTCAAAGTAAAAGCCACGAGCGTAACCGTAGCAGCAGGGCGCACGACAACGGCAAACATAGCCGCAGACACGGAGCCCAAGACGTCGCTGTGGCGCATCGGCGAGTGGGACGGCCAGCCCAAAGGCTTCCGCAACGCAGACAAGCAGCTCCGCATGCACCCGTCTGATTCGCGCATGGCGTCCTGGGGACCCCTCACCTATACCGTGGGCTCCAGCACGCTCGACAGCGTGCCCATGGCCCTGGTCAAGGACCTCAACCCTTTGACCATCAACTTCACCGCAACGCAAAAGAACACTGCAGCACTCACGCTGCGCGTCGGCACTACGCTCGCGTTTGCGGGCTGCCGTCCCGCCGTGACGGTGAATACTAGTTTCAGTGCCCCGTTGCCTGCTGCGCCGACCAAGATTGCCTCGCGGGGCTTCACCCGAGGGGCGTACCGTGGGTTTGGCGAGGTCTACAATTACGCTATCCCTGCGGGCACGCTCGTCGAGGGCGCCAATACGATTCGCATCAGCTGTATGAGCGGTGAGTCTGGAACGGGCTTCTTGGCTCCCAATGTCATTCTCGATGCGATAGAGTTGCTGGAGTGAAAAGAAGAAAAAAAAAACAGGGCAAGCGGAGTGTTTTGGTAGTAGTATGTGTAATAAACATGGTTTGAGGAAACACACCGATGACTGTTACGGCCGAATGACTTTTGCTTTGTAACAAGAGTCCTTTCATTCCTGTCTGTATCTGTGCTTGCTCATACCGTGTTTCAGAGAGCTATGAGCCATTTTTTTTCTCTCGTGATGCGTCTAGTGATGGAGCTGCAAGTCAGACGCAAGTCGGTAGTCAGCATGAGCCCGGACCGTGGACTTGCAGTATGCGCAGAGTCTGTATCCCACAGGAGAAGGTGCATAATCGGGGGGGTTGGATTGAGACGTTGAAAGCATCTGTGCCCAAGATCATGGATATGTAAGTAGTACAAGTGTTTGTGCAAGCACATATACTGATAAATACTAAGTGCTTTATTTTTAGAGAGGTGAGAAAACCCACTCTGATTTCACCGATGTTGTTAAAGTTTAGGTAGTATCGTATGTTTTTTTTCTCTCTCTTACTCGCTCAGACATTCGGCTACGAAAGCGACGTTTAGTTTACCCAAGTCGTTAAAGTGGCAGGTCTGTACTTTACCTTATCAGCTGAGAGGTACGAGTCAGTAGTGGAATCAAGCCCATGGTGCTGATCCTCCGGGGATCAATTTTTGATAGGCAAACATGGACTTTGTACGTATTAGAGACAGGGTGTGGGCAGGATTCAGCATCCCTGCATCGGCCGCCGGTTAAGGTGGAGTAACTTTGATAAAACCTTCACGACGTCCGTGCGGGAAGAAGTCTGGCGGGATCATAATTCCGATGTTCTCTCGGGAATAGCACAATGGCCAGGCACGTTTGTCGCGGCAGTTTGATATTGATAGTGGCGCAGTCGTTGGCAACAGATGCATAGCACGCTTCCCCGGATCTCTCCTGCACGACACCAGGCAATAAACCGAGGTAAACCGTATCAAGCCTAACCAGGATTTACAGAGGGCTCGTGAGGAATACGAGGCCTTGGGGGGATTTTTTTTTCTCGGCGTGAAATGGAAAGATGCGAAATCAAAATAGATTGGATTGCATTCGGGGAAGTGAAGTGGTCATCCGACTTGTGGTAAGTAATGCCAGGTGCTACCTAACCATGCCGCACAGGATGACGCCTCAAGCTGGCTGCTAATCCACCAAGGAAACATGGGCACCTGACAAGCTGGAGGCCTGGGGGAGGACCGCTTTGAGGGCAATAAAGCGTAGCTTTTGCGAGCATTGGTAACCTCTAGCCGTTTGATACGCTGTAGGTAGATCGACGGGAAGGGCAGCTGAAGATGAGACAGCATACCAACCTAAATTAAATTGCAAAGTGAGAAGTCTAACTTCGGGCAACTGCATTAGCCTATACCGGGGTAGGCCATGAAAGTGCACAGACTGGGATTTGGGCCATTGTGGGAGTCAGGGTGCATGACTTGCAGCATCAATATACCAGTTGTGAGAGGACACAGACGTCGTTTTGTAAGCAACGGGTCGATAAGCTGGCTTAGAGATTGCGTCATGTCGGAGCATGGGATTGAGACAGGTCCAGCTACGCCACGCAATGCTGTGCATTATGTCAGCAGGGGTCACGTATGCATGCGATAGTGCGGCCTGTTGGTGGGCGGCTATAGCGAGCTGCTGGCAATTGCTGGTTGCCGTACACTACATGGTGGGCGAGAGAGGCGGCTATTGAGAGGGGGGGAGCAAAAGATGGGTCCGATTTGACGGTACTGGGGGGAATCGGAAGGCGCGGAAAGTGGCGATGTGAAGCCGTGCAGGATCTGATGTAAGTAAGCGTCGATGGAGAAAGAGGCAGTCGGACAATGTGTGTACTTAGACTACGACTAGAAGGAGCATGTGAGGAGCAGCGTGAGTGGATGAGGGGAGGATACCAAGACCAGGCGGTGCTAGACGAGCGCTGAGGGTGCTTTCTAGAATGTTTTGGGAGTGCAGGTTGCTTGGATCGCCAATGGGACAGAGGCCGATAGGAGTTATTGCAAGCTGTGTGGGATGTGGTTGCGCGGGTTAGGGATGTGGGTGTGCAGGCTAGGCTAGGCTTGTTTGGGCGTGATCCTGTTCGCCCGGAAGGTGCAATAGGCAATGATTACCAGATGGAGAAATGGATGGTGATTTGGTGACATCGGACGCCAGACGAGACGAGGCATGCCATGGCAGGGCACTCGACCGGCGCGGCTGACTGCAGGTGGTGGTGGTGGTGGTGGTGGTGATGATGATGGTGATGATTTGTTGCGTGTGTGTATCTGGCACTGGTCGATGGACGAGAGGTGTGTGTGTGTGCGTGTGGCGATGCAGGACAAGGAGACGTCGAGGCGCGGCAGTGTGGCGTTTGCTGGGCAACATGGCATTTGTGAAGCAGCGGTTGTTAAGTAGCATGTGTGTATGTAGGCAGCGTAGCAGCAGGCGTGTAGCAGTTGCAGTAGGCGTGGGAGCTGACTCGGCATGGGCCCGAGGGCGGAGAACAGGTGTTTGAAGCCGTCTGGCGGGCTCGCGTGCAGGGCGTGTACCGATGAGCCGGGGGGCGAGCAACGGGCAATAGGAAGCGCTGCCGAGGGGCAGGCTGTTGCTGCAGCCGCATTGGGCCTAGCGTGGCAGGTGGGCCCGGCAGCAGAGGTGAATGCAGATGCTCGACGAGAGGGGCGGGAAACGCCGTTGGCATGGACATTCACGCATCGCCAGAGCCAGAGCCAGAGCCAGACAGCCCGGCTCGCATCTTGCTGGGGCGCCTTGAGGCGACTCGGTGAATTGATGCGCGCTTAGCTCTGGCAGTGGTCAGCCCACGACGAGGGCCAGTGGCTAGCCAAGGGAGACTGACGGAAGCGCGAGCCCTGGCCTTGCATGGCTTCAGGTCATGCCCCAGATTGGCCCACTGCCCACTGCCCACTGCCAGCCTGCCCGGCGGTGAGGTGGCCACGAGCTGCTGTCCCGCCTGGTCGCTCACACCTCCTCTTTCATCCACTGGCCTTGGCACAGCCCTCATCGTCGATCCCGTCGACGGCCTGCTCGCCCTGGCTACGCCCCTGCATTCACCCCATCCCACGCGACGGCCGGTCTGTCTCTGTCCTGGCCCGTCGTATACGGCTCTTCCGCCTGACAGCCGGACCACCCTCAGCTGCCCACTGATCTCCGCCGGCACCTTGAGCCCGCTAGCACTGCCTAGAGTACACTCCTTCACCATATCAAACACCCCCTCAGCTCATCCTCTCCCTCTGCCTGTCTGCAAGCCCCTCCCTCATTGGCCCCGAGTCCTCCACCCCCTCCTGGCCAACCAGACCAAACCCTCAAGCCATCCCGCCAGCAGTGGACCCTGCCGCGCCCTACCCACCCTACTGCATGTCCAAGGTCAGGCTCATTATGTGCCACACGAGCCGCCTCTCAAGGAACACCCGTCTCCCACCCTCGTCGTATATATCACACATCCCACCTTCCCCTTAGCGCCCTTCTCCCCGTAACCATTGCCCTTTCAAGACGTCTAATTGCTATCTCGTCCTAAATCCACTGCTTGCAAAGCCTCCTGTTTGCTACATCGCTGCCCTCGTCGCCCACCTCGTCCTCATAGCCCAACATGTCTTTCTCCTACCAGTTGCAAATGATCAACCAGTCCTTTGAACGAATCGCATCATGGTAGTATGTGTAATCTGCAGTGCGCCCCTCCCCGACAGCTGAACAGTCACACTAACCATTGCAGCCATGAGTTCATGCGAAGAACAGAGCTGTGCTTCCGGAAGATGAACGAACGTATCCTCCGGCTCGAGCAGAAGCAGCTCACCCATGGCCCTACAGACGAGCAGGTGGAGCGTGTGCTGCGCAAGATCCTGGCCGAGAGATTCGCCCCCCTCGACATGCCCCAAGTCAAGTTGGCCGACCATACGCAGACCGTTGGCTGGTTCGTTCAAGATCCCAACGAGCACCTGTACCCGACATCAATCAAGATGGACGTCGCTTCCCTTCTCGTTTCACCAGAATCCGTCCCATCGCGCGCCTATGCAGAGACTTTTCAGATGCTCGAGGACGATGTCAACGACTATCCTGGTGAAGACCTGCTCATGGATGAGGACGAGGACCAAAAGATATATCTTGGCCATCTCAGCAGTCGCCCTTCTCACAGGGTTTAGCCAGCACACGTGTCCTCAACTCACATCCACCCTGGGCAACGTCGACAACTCACTCACTCACTCGACCCCTACCACTTGGACCTCTGTCACCAGTAACACGGCTCCGCCCCATCACTTTGCGCCCGCCCCAGATCACATGTCCCACAAACTGCCTCGATATGCCTCGTCAAGACCAACCGCCATGGTCTCCACCCCAGACGCCCTGGCACGCGACCGCTCCGAACACCTACTATGATCCACCCAGAACTACCGCTTCCGGGATTTCCCCAACACTTTTAATGTACGTACGAGTGTCTTACGCTCGATGGAACGAATGCATCATCGATAGTGCAGAGTGCACTACAGGTTTCATTGCCACCTTTACTGCGCAACAAAGCGCATATAATACCTCATTCTTCAGCTCGTCAAGAGCAAAGACTTGGTACCGCGTATACCTTGGAGCGAGCACCAAGAGGCCCCCATGTTGCCTTTCTGCACGCCAGGACATTGTACCTAGTTAGATAGTCCTTCAGGATGTACTGGCCTTACACATATGTTTGTCATGTGTAGCCTTTACACCACACCATATATGAAACCCCTTGGCAAAACTTGTACACTTCTTGCCCAAACTACTGGCGTTGTCATGTTAGGAAGCACTTTGCCTGAACGTGTGTTTCGCAATGCCACCCCAACAACTAGCACTGCATCTGCCGGCTGCGTACCTGAAATTGGACCCCACGACACGGACCTTGAGCACACGAGTGCGGCCCGCACAATATTAGAGACCATCGGGCTCGTGTTTTGTTGAACAGGTCTGCTGTTAGGCGGTGACGCGGGACATCGAGTACGACAGAGGGGATGACGCAACGTAGATGCCTACAAGTTGTGCAACTGGATCCCATCCTTCTGGGACTGACCACTACCAGAGCAGCGGAGCATTGTTCCGGGCAGCTGTCACCCTGTCAAGGGTCATCTGGGGTATTATACTTGTTGTGGTTCTAGGGTACGTATACACTGGTGTCGGCCTTTGTACCCCGGCGGCACTTCGACTAGCGTGGGGGGATGTCAGATCTCATCTAGATCTGTCCGCAAGCCATCGCATCCTCCAAACCACGATGCAATCCTTTTGCACCCCTGGGTATACAGGCATGCGGCCCCGCCCATAAGGCAGTATGTTCAACAGCAGCAGCAATAGCCCGCGCACTAGGGGAGGACAAGTGTTATCGGCTCTCCTTCCCGCTTCACTTACTACACCCACATAACCCGCGCATCGATTTGAAGTATATCATCAGATCGCCCCACTATGTCCCCGTCTCCACTCGTTCCTACCCACAATGATACTCACTACCCTGATTCATGCTTGCCGAACTCCTTCGGTCCTTTGATTAATCGACAAATACTACCTCAACCCAGCCAAGCCTAGTCAGCCACGCCTAGTGCGTCAAGCCCATGAATGTCACAGAGCCCGATTAGCACGACTGCGCCACCTGAAATGCTAATAGTCCACTCTGTTTCGTCAATTCATGCCGAAACACCTCGACACCAACCTCCGCCGCCCATCGTCAAAGCTAGGCTCCGCGGCAAGCGGTGTGAGCGTCCACACCGGACTGCTTATTATGGACCATGCATCTTCATCAGCTGCTTGAGAGCTTCGTCATGATATTCGTACCGCGGAAGGACTTTTGCATATGTACGTATGCCACCATGTCATTACCTGGCCCCTGGATACGCCACATTTAAGCATGTCACCATCATAACACCGGGTTTTTTCGTCCACCAAGCAATGCCTCGGCCTATGGCAGCAAGGAGTGTATATGATTTCTCTTGGTAAACACCACGGTATAGAGCTTTTGTCCCAATCGCCACCCAACGGTCGGCATTCCCGCAGGAAAAAATGAACGCCTCATTCCTCTTGCATGCGGCGCACCTTGGGCCTCAACAAACATTGGACCTGCGCCCAAACTCCGAGCCAATTACGACTCATACATTACTCGGCTACGCCTTCGAGGGTGTGGCTTGTGACCTTACCTGAAGCATCAGATTGAGCAGGTCTCACATCAGAAATGCAGTTTGTTTTTTTTGCTTCCCCCCCCCCCCACCTCTCATGCAACATGGCAATTACCGTGCCACTTGTCATTTTCCAATTAATCCTCGCGCCATAATTATTGTTGTCATTATTATCAACATGCTCTCTCCAATTGCGAGCCTAGTACGAGTTTACAAGCCACAGCCGCAAGCTGGGACTCCCGGACGCTTCGGCCGTACGCATACCCCATTTTCCTTTTCCCCATGGCTACGCTTCACAACATTCTCGGCCCGAAGCGACGTACTTACTTACTACTACCAACAAAATCCGCAGTAATCGCGTGCGCGCTCACACCACTAAAACATCGTGAAACTCGGTCTGGACTTTCTTTCCACTAGACCCTCACTAACCAAGGCGGAATTCCACTGCGGAAATCCAAGAGAAGCAATAATCGCGAATGCCGCCGACTCAAGTACCGTAAACAGTGGATACGCCCCCCCCCCCCGCTCACCCATGACATACAACGACGGTAATGTGCTTCCGGGAAGTTTATCAACCCGGCACGAGCCTTGAAGGAATCTTTGCCCGTAACTATTATCCCGCCGCCCCGGGCGGCGGAACCAAGCCATTGGGTTCTCTTTTCTCTCCCTCCTTTTTTTTATTTTCCCTCTCTCGTGGCTATCCGCCTTCCGCGGACGTTACCAAAGAAGCATGTTCAAAATGACTCTGTTTCTTTTTTCTTTGCAATGAAAGCGAAAAAAAAGTACAAATATCGGTACCCAAATAAGATATATGCCCAGGAAAAAAAAGAGAAACGACTACCGCTTTTCGGTTCCAACAAGTTTTTTTTGGTGGTTCGGCCCGCGGAGTCCTTCTCGAGCAAACGGCATCTACACACGAGCGAAACTAGTGAAGAGCTGAGTTATAGGCCATACGCTAAAAAACAGTTACAAACCATCCACAAGCAATCAGAAAAATACGTTCCCGCTTCTTCTCCGGTTCTTCTTTCTCATTCAAGAGAGAGAGAGAGAAAACACAGCCTATTTTCCCTTTCGTCTACCCGAAAACAAGCCATATACAAAAAAAACCCACCCCGTCTAACACCCATCCCAGCCCCCCCTATCCCCTCTCGCTTATCCCCATCTCCTCTCTCCTTCTTTCTCTTCTCTCCGCGGAGATCGAGGAGGGAAGGGGGGGAGTAGATTCAGACATCCACATATCTCCTCCCCCTCTTCTTCCCCTTCTCGCGTAACATTTTCACCATGTGCCCAATTCCCCAACCCCCCTTCTTCCCCTGTATTTTTTTTTTCGATGTGAATAGCCGGACCCGCGTATACCCTCACCCCCACCTCCCCTTTTCCCTTTCCCTGGCTAACTAATAACACCTTTTTTCTTGGGGGGGGGGGAGGGGGGGGTTTACTTTCGTTTCGTTTGCGTGTTATTCGGTGGCAAAAGTGTATACAAAAATCACCCTTTCCCCTCCCCTCCCCCACATCAAGGTCTTTCTCTGGCTGGAAGGGAAAAGAAAGGAATTAAAGACATGGTTGCCCATGCGGGGGTTTTTTTTTCCCTTTGTTGGCGAAAAACGGTCGACCCTTCTTTTTTTTTGGGGGGGGGGGGGGGGGGGGGGGGGGNGGGGGGGGGGGGGGGGATCAAGACCGGTGTGTGGGTGTGGTGGTGCCGTGAATAGAATTAGGGTTACGTTAGCTGTGTGTGTGTGTTCAAAGAAGTTGGAAAAAAGAAAAATTGTTGGTGGTGATGGTGGGAAGTTTCGGGGACGTTATGGGTAGCATTCAACGTGTGCTTGCCCGCGGAGAGAAAAATGTGTAGATGGATGTTTCATGCTTCCCACCCCCCCTTTTTTTTTTCTGAAAGGTGAAAGTAACGGGAAAGGGGGACTGAGTTGTAAAGAGGTATGTGTGTTTCTCACTTGCAACATCTTGGTTAATCCATATTCATACATGCATCTCTCTGTCCATGACTCTTTTTTGATACTACGAAAATTCACTTGGTCAAATACAAGTGGAAAAAGAAGCACAGGTTTGAACACTTGGAAGT